ACACCTCTTCTAGACGTTCATTTGGAAATAGACAATAGAACTCTTAGGTCGTAGCGATAATCACGCACCGACTAGGACGCTCACGGGCTGTAACGACGCTCAGGAGCGGTAAGGACGTTTACGGGCTCAACGACGGTTGCGGGCGAGTCAAAGTTACATACTATTTTCCTAATTTCGAATTAAAATTAAAGCTTTCATCTAGTTTTTCTTTGTTTATTATTACAGAGTTCAACGTTTTAGGAAAACATGGTTAAGTAAATATGACCTGTATACGTGTTTTTACTGAATGTTTATGTTTATATTAACAGTAGCATAATTAGGATACAATAATAAACACATGCCAGCATTTATTTTACGTATTTTGTTAGAATTATTTTTAAAATTATTGCAAATATGGGTCCGTTCTAGACTATGATGGCAGGAACACACTGCCTCGCATGTTTTACAATAATATTTCTTTTTTACGGTATAAGGGCAAATTAACGAATGGATCACTTAATGGTAAGTGACTGAAACTCAAGTCACAAGGGCATTGCCGGCCTTTGAGTGCTAGGATTAGGGAAGTAGGGGGCTCCAATACCTCAGTCATTTGGTGAAATGCAACAAAAGGAATGCTTGACAACGGTTTTTTGAAGTGGCCAGCCTACGTGTGTAGAAGCATGGCCCTAGCATGATTATAATTAAACAGAGCCGTCTGAGAGCCGCCATTAAGTTTGCATCGGACTATACTATGGTAATCAGACTGCTAAAAAATATACTTATATCACATCACACATCAACAGCCTTTAATAGTCCACTGCTGGACATAGGCCTCTCCTTAGAAAGGAGTTTTGGCCTACAATACCGCGCTGGCCAGACGGGTTGGCAGCATTGCAGAGAGAAGGAAAACTTGACACAACCCTTTACTTAATAAATACATCTTATAAAAAAAAAAAAAACAACTCAGACGAAGAACAAATGGTCGTAACCGATACAAAATGGTATGGTACAAAATGTGTAGGTATATTTATCTTTACGAACAAATAAACAATAATTACTTATTTTCATAAAGGAATCTAGATCACTCGTTGCCTGGCCATACCCATCTTTTCAATGAATAAGTATACTGTAAAATAACAATCTTCTCCAAAAGCCTTTTGATTTTTTGTACTTCATTCGATTTCCTGCCTTTTAAAAAACTGTGTGTGTGTATGTTTGAGTACAATACACGAGAAGTATGAAATGTTTAGAATTTTACATTTATTTTACTGAACTGATGATGAAGATGAAGTAATATCATGGGGACTCGCGTTTAGAATATTTGTATAACAGAAATAAAAACTAAAAAAGTTTTAATAAAATTTAAAATTCAATTTATGAACTGAACTAACATTTTTCAATTTCCTATTGCCTAACTATTTGCTATTTCGTTTTTTATCATTCATATTATATCCCATTGCAAATATCAGTTTCAAAAAATTTTTTTTGCTAAATTCACCCCTAACTTACAAATAAACTAAAGAACTCCCAATCCCAATTTAATGTGCACACATACATAGTTAGGGTGTGACATCATGATAAACAAACAAGTCTCTAATAACAAACATCACCTCAATGAGGTTTGTAAACAACTTGTTTACAGATCTATATTATCTGTGACTCATATGCAAACATCTAGATGACAGAGACTATTATATCTCTTATAACTGTTATATCTCTTTTATTTCTATAGACCTGGGCCTCAATTCTGCTATTTTATGTTAACGCCAAGCCACTGTCATTCAATTGATACGCTATTGAGACGCCATTGACATAGGTCAAAATATCAGTATTCTACTAACATAAATTCACAATATCAATAGACTGTCGATATAGTAATATAGGTCATCAATGTTGATATCAAAAACCTTCAAAATTAAATAAATCATTTTCTTACAAATTTAAAATGTACCATTTACCAAACTGTTACAAAGACATCGACGCCATTTGTATCAGTGACAAGTCTTCGGGATGCCATTGGTCTTACATAGTTAGTAGAATACGAAAAGTGCAAAACTATTCCGACGACATTCCATCGACAGTCTATCGATATAATAGCCGAATTGAGGCCCTGGAGGCGTTTTTCTTTTGTGATGGAGCATAATCCCATAGAAAAAGCAACATGGCTATAAGTGGAGAGTTACCAATGGATTGGAATGGATTACCTGGCCTGTTGGTCCTCAGACCAACAGACCTCTTGCCAGACCTCTGGTGTAGCAGTCAGGGTCACTAACCATTAGTGGTTAGTGACCCTGACTGCTACACCAGAGATTGTGGGTTCGATTCAGGCCCAGGACGAATAATTGTGTGATGAGCATGGTCATTTGTTCTGTGTCTGGGTGTACTTTATCTATAGGTACTTAATATGTCAGTTCATATTTAGAAATATATAAGTATGATTTCAGCAGTCTGGTTACTAAAGCACAGGCTCTGCCTAGTTTAGGATCGGACAGCCATGTGTGAGATGTGTGAAAATATTATTTTTATATCTAGAGAACGTTTCACATTGCAGAATATAAATGTCTGTGAAAAAAATACTTTGGACCCTTTTTTAAATAAACCCTGTGCATGAAAGCACATATTATTTGGAATACTTATTGTTTAAATGTAGAAGATTTGCAAAAATATAATTTTATTACACAATATGTGTTATAAAGTTAAAATAGGTGCATAAAGCTACAGAGGTATGGTATACGACTTGTTCTGTTGTAGTAAAAAAGATTAAAGTGGCAGTTTAAATTATAACAGTGAAGGAAATAAGACAAGTAGTGTCCGGCCGAAACTGGTTTTTACGACCGAAACCGAAACCGAATTTCGGCAACGGTCTCAGTTTCGGCCGAAACCGAAACCGAAACTTTTTTATAAGGATCATGTTTTCAGAAAAAAATAAAGAAAATGTATTATAATCAGTTAGTTCAGTATACAGTAGGTATCTGTACTTAAATGTTACTTCTTATTAATATTCATAGTTAAACAATCTTATATTATAGGTAAGAAACAATAGTTTATCAACATTTTCGCCTCGCGGATTACTCCTTCTGTCTGAATAAATTTGTTCAGCAGCAATAAATAATTGTTCACTGGAAACACTCGTTGGTGGAGCTGATAAGTATTTCAGTGCCACCTTTCTCAAAGACAGATATGGACTAGAATCCCAGTAAGAATAAATATCTGCACTTCTCTGTAATCTAGGCTCTGACAAGTATGCCTGAATAGTTTGCTTAATTTGAGTTAAACAATCACTGCTTTCCACACCAGAAGTTTCTATAAAGTTACAAGTAGATTTATCATGGGCGTCCCAAAGCAATTCTGATTTTTCCGAAGACACTATTCAAGATGAACAAGATGGATGTGGTTCTCCAGAATGATAAACTCACAACAAACAAAATGCACTGCAAACAAGCAGGTTACGACATGATTACGCACGTGGAAGCGGCCAAATGTCATCGTCGCTTGGATGTCATTTACCGCGCCGAACACACCCGAGCACAGCGCGGAAACTCTCGAATGCAGTTTCGGTTTCGGTCGTAGTTTCGGCAGGTTTGCTGCCGAAACCGAAACATAACCGAAACTCGTTTTTTTGCCGAAATTCGACCGAAACCGAAACCGAAACCGAACATTCGGTCGGACACTAAAGACAAGACATTAAAACTGATTGAAATCACACCATATAGCAATATTTCTCCTCATTATATTGTTGCATATAATATGAAATGATGTATTTATAAATGTATGTAATTATCATACATTAAAATTCCCTTAAAGTGCAATTATTATATAAAAAATGTTCATTAAATGAAAACTACTGGGCCTAACTATGTTAAATTTTTATGGGACCAAATGGCAACTATTCCGCATCAAACTAAAGAAGAATCACGTAAATCGGATCATAAATCTCAGAGTAATCAGTGTACATACATTGAAAGAAAAAAACTGAGAATTGAGAACCTCCTCCTTTTTGAAGTCGATTAAAAATACTATAACAAGCTAATTTTTGACGACCAGATTTAGTAGTTGTTTGTATATTATCATCATCAGCCTAACGCAGTCCACTGCTGGACATAGGCCTCTCCCATTGCACGCCACTTAGATCAATTTTGATCTCGCATCATCTAGTTTGGGATAAGGGACTGCTATTCCACAGGTTGTGGGTTTGATTACCCCTCGAGTCAAACATTTCTTAGCATGAAGATTTAATGATTGATCTTTGTCTGGGTGTTTCTATGTATAATATTATGTATGTATTTACAAAACCACATCTAATATGCTGTATATTGCCTACAACCCGAAATTTGCCACCTTTAGATTTTAGTTGAACATTTTCCATAAATTGTCCAATCTTATTTACAACTAATTCAATTAAAACAAAAGAAATATTGAAATGTGTTCAGACATAGTAAAGACATCAGACACAGTTTTTTATTATGAGTTAAAACTGAGTATTTGCTCAAGAAAATGTTATTTTCTAAGAAATTATTGTAAAGATATATAAAATAAATAATGCTACACATATAGCCAGGTATACATGTGAATCATGGGTTTATAAACACTAAAACCATTAAACTTCAGTCAATACAATTCATTAACACAATGTAAAACTGAAACTTAATTTAAACTGAATTTAACACTATCATTTCAAATAGTGTTAAATAATACTATAAGAAAGTTGTTTGACAATAAGTTTTTTTGAAAATAAATAGTAAATATTAATAAATGGCAATCATCTGATATATTTATATAAATATAAACTTTGTCAAACTTTCTAAATAACAGTGACACTACTCAGCTTGGTAGAGTACAATAAGATTGATCAAAACTTAACTCAAGTAAACTTACTTAATTGGTAAGTTTGGAACAAAGCTTTGATAACAATGAAAAAATTTGTTTTACTGTTAAAAACTTCATAAGATGACCTACTAAAAAAAAGTTTACTCATGATTTATGACTTAACTTTTTTAATAAAGAAAGAAAAAAGAACTTACCAGAACTGAACATTCTTCCCAACATAGTGTTTGGGTGAGCAGTAAACTGAGCTGGATCCACCACGAAACGGGTGTTGTCCACCACCAACGTGATCCTATCTTCACACAGCTGACCCTTCTGCCCATTCCTAGGGGGATCCTGAGCCGTGGAAGTAGAAGGCGTCGGAGTATTAGCGCTCAAGTTCTTCGGAGGCATGTTCGGACGAGTTCTTATATTCGGTCCTGTCCGTTTCGACAACCGCTTGCGTCTCTCCTCGTCCCTTCTATATTCTTCTGTGTCACTACTGCTGTCGGGATAGAAATAAGGACGTCTTTCTGACATGGCCTCAGGCCCATTCGTCTGAGAGTCTGACATAGGCGTGCGCTCGTCCCCGCGAGCCCTCACATCACGGTCGATGCTCCTTTGTCCCTGTGACGGTGAGCCGTTATTGAAAGCCGTTTTTCAGTGTTGTTAAAAATATTGTATAGAAAGAAATTCTACGAAAACGTCAACGTAACGTCGTAACTAGTTTGACAGTTAGGAAATTGCTGCTATGTGAAAAAAAAACACTATTATTGCTTTTTCAGTTTCTCCACTAAGTATTTATACAACATTAAAAATGCTTTCTATAGAATGCTTCTCGACAAATCATTGTATTTGAGGCAATCACCGTAAGTATAAAATATAAAATAATTTTATTTGTGCACCAGTCATGTGCTATGATTCATCATGACGCACAACAAACCTATCAAAAAAACATTTGTATTCCTATTCACAAAGATTTCAAAACAACATAATTGATAAAATCCAGGATTACCTTATAAAATAATAACATTTCATAATACATTTTAGTGTATTGTGAAAATATATTATTTTCAAGTTTATGAACTGTAAATTTTATGTTCAACGTTTGCTGAATGCGTTCAAAAAATGAAAAACTTGAATGAATCGGCTGTTGACCTTTTCACTGTCAGATGCGGATATTGGTTAACACAATAATTGTTTTTTTTTTATTATTAAATTACGTTATCGTAAACATCCCACCTACCTGAGCTGTGAAATTAATGTGATAAATAACCAAAAACATAAGTGCCGTGACTCTATATATTGTAAATATACTGTGTAACGTAAAGCAACGCTTGTAGGGCGTCACTCATTTTAATTGTATAATTTACCACAAATGGATAATAAAGAAGAATATCATGATCCTGACTATCCAGAAGTGCCAGTAGTTGTCAAAGAGGAGCCCCAAACCTTCGACGAAGAGGAGAAAGTTAAAAAAATCAAAGAAATCATCAGGCGGGAATTTTTAAATGAACTTGAAATTAGAGAAAATGAAGTTATGCTAATAGATCAACGGTAAGTTAAACTATTTTTTACTTTTAATCGTCAATAAAACCTGTTTGGGAATGCACTGACCCTTAAAACACGTACTTTTAAATACGTTTATGCACCATGTGGTCTTTTGTTATGACTTTTCTTCCTAGTTCAAATAAAACGACGTGTTATTTTTTTTATGTTTTTGTAATTAACAGTTGTATAGTTCTGCCTTTAGAAATAAATATCTTTAAAATTTAATATTACGTTGTTTATAATAGTTTATTGAGAGGCTGAGTCATATGTGAATGAAATTATAAGTAATGTGATTATATTTATTCAGATTTATAAAGTTTTATGGTACTTTCAAGGTTATATGGAGAACACATGTCGCATAGGGAATTAAATATCAATGTTCTTAACAATTTAGAGGAGTTGAAGCTATAGATAAATTATATAAACACACTAGATGTAACCCATCCATGCTACTCTGTGGCACATTGTATTTCAATGATGGAAAATAAGGAACAAAACTGATGCAAAAAGTAGTTAAAAATAATTTCTGAAGCGGGTTGTATATCAATCAAAATTTGAGCTTAATCGATGCGGAACTTTTTAAGTTTTTGAGTGTACACAAACCAACTTTACATTTTGAAATAAATAATGTTGGATGTGACTACTTATGTATACAGATTATCCTCTATTAGAGCACCATAACAATGAATAGTCTTTAAGTTGACAGTATATCAGTTACAATAAACAGTTATTTATAATTTTAAATTTATGATAATGCAGTCCTTTGTTATTAGTTTCAATTCGTTTAGTTGTCAAAGGTGTTTCACTGCCCTTATTCATCCTGTGGGTGTTGCAAGAGCCGACAAAGGGAGCAAACTATGCATGACAACAGCACTGGAAAGAGGGAAAACTTAAAACTTGCTATTGTGGGCCAAAACCTAGAAATCCTTTCTAAAGATGTTGATGATGATGATGAAAGGTTGCCTAGAAAAAAATGCTATAAATCATCATGATCTTAGAATAATGTTGGTATTGAAAAAAACTCGAAATTCTATTTTTAACATATTTGGATACTACATTGTCCAAATATTATTGTTATGTTCAAGAAAAAATTATATGTATGTTAGATTTTAATTTATTCAGTGTTTGTTTGATAGGCGCTCAAAGTAAAATAAAGCATGTGATTTTTCTAGAAAATTGTCTAATTATTAGTTATTATATGTTAATAGCATTTTAAAACAAACTTTATTTTTCACTTGTATGCCAATTTTCATAATTATAGATTTAGAATTAAAAAAGTAATGTCAAAAAACTAACATAATTATCAGATCTGACAGTATTCTACGATTATGACGAAATGATTAGAACGGCAAAGAAATTTTCATGGTGTATAATAATAAGTCCAGCAGTGGACTGTTAAAGGCTGTTGATGATGATGATGATGATGATAATAATAAGAATCTGGTTGTTATGTTTAAGCAACGTAAAAGACTGAATGGATGTTTTTCGCAAAAAAATGATTTTATTATTTTTACACAATTTAAGTGAAATCAAATTTTTATTACTAATATTCCAAAGCGGGAATGTATGTGTAGTGGTTGAAACATTTAATTTCTTTTTGGTTTTACTTACAATATCCTTACAGAATTATTCTAATGCGATATTGTACTTACATTCTAAATTGCAAACTAAAGTAACAAATTTTACTAAGTGGTTTAATTGTGAATTCACTCAGAGCATAATAAAATGTATCCACATAGTCATGTATGAGGTTAAGTGCCGACTGCACAGATGGCATAGTGGTTTACTCACTACTACGCTGAGTGTTGTGGGTCCGATCCCCACGTGGGACAAAGCTTTGTGTAATCCACAAACTGTCCGTTTTAATGTATGTTTGTAAAGTCCCCGCGACACAGGATATATTCCTAATGCGGAAGTTGCCTTTTTAACAAAGATGTAATGATTCTGCTATTAAGAAAGTTACTTTAAGACATAAATATAAGCTTTATTTAAGTTAAATTATATGTATTTATAAACGCATGCATTTCTCCATGTGAGAGTAGAACTAATAGTATGTTTTATTTATTATAGTGTTATCAATATAATATAATAATAATAAAACATAGTTTTCACACTCATTACATACTAGGACCATATAATTCTTTACTTTTTATGCAATCTAATATATAAAATTCTCGTGTCACGGTGTGCGTAGTTGAAAACGACTCCTCCAAAACGGCTCAACCGATTTTCAAGAAATTTTTGTGTGCATATCGGGTAGGTCTGAGAATCGACCAACATCTATTTTTAATAAACCAAATTTTTTAACTTGGACAATTTTTGTTCGAAAAAATGGATATGGCAAAACAACGTTTGATGGGTCAGCTAGTAAAATATAAGATATACTAGAAAACTAAGAAAGTATTGTGTATGTAAGAAATATTTCGGACATCTGACACAGAACGCCATCTAGTTTCAAAACTAAAAAGAGCTAGTACTATGAAAGCTAGATTGACTGGTGGAATACTGGAATATTTTTTCTGTAAATACATAGAAAACGCTCAAACAAATATTTGCAGATCATACAAACATTTGTTCCAACCCTGGAATCGAATCTTAGATCTCAGCACAGCATTTGCATATGCTACCACTGCACCACCTAGGCAGTCATTCAGTCAGGTATAATTTAATAAATTCATGTAGAAATCTGATCCCAAACTAACCAGAGCCTGTACTATGGACACGAGACTGCTGATAAACATACTTATACAATATTTTTAAATACATCACATCATCAGCCTTTAATAGTCCACTGCTGAACATAGGCCTCTCCTTAGAAAGGAGGTTTTGGCCTACTATACCACGCTGGCCAGACGGGTTGGTATAGGGTTTGTGTCAAGTTTTCCTTCTCTCTACAGTGCTGTTGTCCTGCGTGGTTTGCTCCCTTAGTCGCCTCTTACGACACCCACGGGATGAATAGGGGTGGTGACACTCTGTATTCTTAATCCGTCACCACACGGATAGATACATTTAAATACATACTATACATTATATAGCTACCGACCGCTATAGGTCGGTATATATTATAACTGTCTGGTATTCAAGAGATGGGTCAAGGAGCCGAGGTCACAAAGTGAGAAGATGATCTGAAATTGACTCTAGGTCCCCTTTGGCTAAGGATTGCAACCTATAGTAAACAGTGGAAGACTTTGGAGGAGGCCTATGCCGTAAGGCACACCGAACTTAGGGACATATTATGACTAATGTACTAGGGATTATTGAGTAGTATGAAAAACTGTATAACTTCGGCATTAAAGGCTTATTATTATACTATACATTATACTTTTTGACTGCACGGATGGCGTAGTGGTTTTAGCGGTCGCCACGCCGCTTCCTACTACGCCGAGTGTTGTGGGTTCAAACCCCACATGGGACGACACTTTGTGTGACCCACAAATTGTTGTTCTGAGTCTGGGTGTTCTTTGTGTCCGTTTCATGTATGTTTGTAAAGTCCCCCGCGACACAGGATATTTTCCTAATGCGGGAGTTGTCTTTTTTACCAAAAAACAAAAAAACAAACAAAAACTTATTTTTTTACACCCAAGACAAAGAATAAATGATCGTGTTCATCACAAAATTACTTGTCCTGGCTGTGAAATGAACCGACAACCTCTGGCAGCAGTCAGGTTTGCTAACCACTAGACCCCAGAGGCCTGTCTGTAGAACTGAATAAACTTTATTGTACACCAGAAGGGCAATTCTCGTAATAAAAGTTCGCTCACAATTCAGTTCCGATCAACTCTCGATCTCATTACTGTCATAAGGGTATTTTTGTAGTAAAATAATAAAGTATTACTAAGACTAGCAATGCAATGGGAGAGGCCTATGTCCAGCAGTGGACTGCGATAGGCTGATGATGATGATGAAGACTAGCAGATTACCGATTCAATCCTCGATCACAATATGATATAATCACATTGCAGTGAACGTTGGATGTTTAATACTTTACTCAGGGCCGTCTTTAGCCTATCGGAGGGCCTGGGCACATTGGGATAACGGGGCCCCTACGACCTTGACTGATTAGTGTCTGTGATAGAATAGCCAAACAAGGTATTATAATCAGCCATTTTCCCTGGATTTTTCTGAATAAATATGGTTTTCGGTAATAAATACCGATTATCGAATAAGGTAGGCAGGAATTAGGGGGCCACTATCTATCGAGGGGCCCTATCACTACGAAAATACATTTTATGACAGTATGTTTTATACCTTTACCTTTACAGAGACATAATATGATAGTGGCTACTCGAATGCACAGAATGTCATCATCATACACCTACTGTCTATATTCCTGAAGGGGTAAGCAGAAGCGTATTAAATGTCCACATTTTACCGTCAATAATTTTAATTCCTATCACATAAGAGCGGTTTAAAAATACGGTCCGAAGTCGTTGTAGAACGATTGCTATGGTAGCTTACGCACTAGATTCGACTTCCGTTATCCGTGAATTCTCTCTCGATTCCGGACAAGTTAATGACGGACCATAGAAGCCATTCTGTTGTTTTTATGAACGCATCACATCACATGATGATGCGATGTGGTCGCTCTGCTGTGGCTCCGCGTAAAATGACGTATGCTAAAAGGTGACCCCTGAATTGCTTCGATTAGAGGCGGAAGTCGCAATAGTGCGTGAACTATATACGAATTCAGTCAGTCAGTCAGCCTTTAAAATACGTAATCACGGATCAGAAATCGAAAGCAATATCCAAATTCAGCCTGAGATTTCTAGATCCGTATTTTCACGGATTCTGATCGGACGTTGTGCTAAGCCGCTCTAATAGGCGCCAAGCTTATTGTTGGGGAAAAATGCTGCTTGCATTTGCCACCTGCTTGGAGGTGCATGTAACATGATATATAATTATTCGTTTGCGTATTATTATACTTTGACTGTGGCTGTGGTCATGTAGTAATAGGCCAACTTAGTCAACCTTAACTATGACCAATCATCATCATCATTAGTCTATCGCAGTCCACTGCTGGACACAGGCCTCTCCCACTGCACGCCACTTAAATCGATTTTCGGATTCTCGCATCCAGCTCCTGCCAGCCATCTTGCGCAGATCGTCACTCCTACACTACCTTTGCCTAGACGCGTTCTCCACTCAAGAACTCGTTTACCCCAAAAGGCCAGCCCACTGCCACTTCAGCTTACTAATCCGGTGGGCTATGTCGATGACCTGTAAATATATCACAATACTATAGTTTGAAATCTTGGAGCTGATCTGATGATGGAGTCTCTTTTTTACTTTTGGTAATCAAATAGATTTACGTCCCGTCACAGGTTTGTTTAAGAACCTGCAATAGTTTTAAGGCCATTGCTTTTGTTCTACGTTAAGTTCTTTTTCTTGAAAAAATCACTTGATTCTGCTCTTTTATGTTGATAGAATATATGTGGGTTTATAATTAGTTCATATGTATATACTTACTAGTTGAGACCCGCGGTGTTACCCGCGTTTGTTGTTATAACCGCGGGCAACGCCGCGGGGCGAAGCTAGTCTAAAAAAAGTAGCCTAAGTTACTCCTTATGTCATCAGCTATCTGCCAGTGAAAGTCCCGTCGAAATCGGTCCAGCCGTTCCAGAGATTACCCGTACAAACAAACAAAATATTTTGGTATATGTACCGTGTAAACATGCATATGCATGTAGTAAAAAGCGGTTATTTTAATATTTCAAACAGACACTCCAATTTTATTTATTTGTATATACTTGTATATAATATAATAAAATAAATAATATATTTTACTACATTCACACAACGCCATCTAGTCCCAAACTAAGCAGAGCTTGTACTATGGGTACTAGGCAACTGATATGAATACATATATACTTTTTTTTGTAAATACACACATATTATACAAAGAAACACCCAGACCAAATTAAACATTAAATGTTCACGCACACAAATGTTTGACTTGAGCGGGAATCGAACCCGCGACCTTTGAAATAGCAGTCCGTTACACAAACCAGTATGCCAGCCGGTCGTCAAATGTTTAGTTGGTTTGTACGCCACAAAAACACAAAAAATGATGCACCGATTAAGCCTAAATTTTGACACGAGATATAAACCGCTTCAAAGATTGTTTTTATCAATTTTTCGCGCCAGTCTTGTTCCTCATTTTCCATTAATGCAACCACATGCTCCACAGCGGACCGTAGCAGGATACAGCTAATAAATAATAATAATAATCTTATTTCTACTTAGCATGACAACATCCCGCCGATTACTGCATCGTCTCCGGTATGCCCTCGTAAGCAACTACTACAATGATCAGAAACTCAAACTGAGCAATGGGCAAGTGCAGGACGAGATTGCATCACAACATGAACCCCGAGCTAGGGCTGAGGTATGTAACTAAATGTTTTAGGAAGAATAGAAAAGCTTCTACTCGTGACACCTGTACATAGGAGATAAAAACATTAAATTTCCGTCATCGTATAATTCAAAGTGCGATCCATGAGCGCTGGCTTGGAGGATAAAGCCCTCTGGACTTAATGGTGTGACTATCAATGACGGGATTCTTGGGGACTTCCTTCCCAGAATATAATTAAGTCGGGTGTCGTAAGAGCCGACTAAGGGACTTAACTACGCAGGTCAATAGCACTGCAAAGAGAAAGCAAAACTTGACACAAACCCTGTACCAACCCGTCTGGCCAGCGTGGCTTTTTTTTAATTTTTAAAAAGACAAACTCCCATTAGGAATATATCCTGCGTTGCGGGGGACTTTACAAACGTACATGAAACGGATACAAAGAACACCTAGACTCAGAACAACAATTTTTGGATCACACAAAGTGTCGTCCCATGTGAGGTTTGAACCCACAACACTCGGCGTAATAGGAAGCGGCGTGGTGACCGCTTAAACCACTATGCCATCATGTCATGGTGTCATCACGTCAGTCATGGTGGTGGCTATAATAGCCATAAACCTTCTTTCTAAAGAGAGTCCTATGGCCACCAGTGGTCTATTCAATCTAAGCAATGTGTTCATGATGTTTTAATTGGTTATAATGTGGTTTTAACATTTATAAAAAAAAAGATTTGCGAAACACTGTATGGTTTTGGTCCCTTTGATTCCGTTTGATGAAATGAAAATGAAATTTTGCATTTCCTATTTAACGTGGGTTATTACCTCAAAGGGGCTCATGGTGGATCGAAATGGCGGCACATTCCGATCTACCCACATGGTAAAAAAGAAATTCAAAATATTACGAAACCATGGAATATTTTCTAAATTAAATGTGTGCATACGTGTATAGCTGTATGCAGACATGGGTATATGCAAGTGGTCATGCATTTATGTTTGTGATTTAATTTATTTGGTCCACATTGGAGTACTCTGACGTCAGTAAAATTTTAGTGAAATATTATCTGATGATATCCATGAGATAGCGAGCCTATCGCTATTATCTAACATTCGAGCAGAAACGTGTGAATTGTTGTGCTGATAAAATAAAAAAAAAAATATTTGCAGAATCAGAATAAAGTTTTGGTTACATTTTGTATATGATTTTTATCTTATAGTTATAAGATTCTCATATAAAGTTTGTTACTAAAGCTAACATAAAACTAGTATATGATTATTTTAAATTGTCCAAGATTGAATATAAAGAGGTACAAACAAAATATTACAAATTCTTTTGCAAACGGCCTGAGCTAGGTGTGAGACCCGTTTTAGGCAGTCGCTTGACTATGTTAGTTACAGGACGTTCATATGTTAAAGTTCTAATAGATTGATAATGTTAATTACTTCAGACTGGTTTGTATACACAAATATATATTACTTATTGTTTAATAACCTAATTATAATTAAAATTATATCATTTTGAAATTGCCAAGATGTTTTCTGTGTCTGCGTAATTAAGCTTACCTAAATATTCTCCTACTAGATTTTGACACTTTGTATACATCACATCAGGTATTTGAATGGATATTCACAGGAATATGATGTTTCGCCTATCTTGTGGGTGAGACATGTTAGACATCATCACATCAACAGCCTTTACAGTCCACTGCTGGACATAAGCCTCTCCTTAGAAAGAAGGTTTTGGCCTACTATACCACGCTGGCCAGACGGGTTGGTATAGGGATTGTATCAAGTTTTCCTTCTTTTTGCAGTGCTGGTGTCCTGCGTTGTTTTGCGCCCTTAGTCGCCTCTTACGACATCCACGGGATGAATTGGGGTAGTGACATTCCGTATTCTTAATACGTCACTACACTACTTTGTATACGATACGTCATATATTTTGAAGACATTGTTTATATTATTAAATAGATGTGGAGCGAAGAAGGGATAAAATTTGTTAATGTATGTATGCGTTGTTTGGGGTTAGCACATACAATGTCGTTCCTTCTCTTGTCTAAGGATTAAATGGTAGTTCCGCGTGTTGTTTTAGTATGATGTGCAATATAAATAACTGCTGAACTGTTAATACTTTGCATTCCAGATAGAGTTGATGAGTAGGGAACCTAAATCGGCGACAGGTGGCTACTTTTAGTATTGCTCGTTTAAGTGGAAGTAAAATGGTCTTAGCAGCGTCATCCCACGAAGTTATGCAATATGTTAGTATCGACTGACACAAAGCCAAATAGTTCTGTTTTATCTATACTAATATTATAAAGCTGAAGAGTTTGTTTGTTTGTTTGAACGCGCTAATCTCAGGAACTACTGGTCCGATTTGAAAAATTCTTTCAGTGTTAGATAGCCCATTTATCGAGGAAGGCTATAGGCTATATATCATCACGCTAAGACCAATAGGAGCGGAGCACTAATGAAGAATGTTTCAAAAACGGAGAAAATTTATTACTATTGAGAGACGCAGACGAAGTTGCGCGGGTCAGCTAGTTACATAATAATCTGCAATACTCCGTAAATTTTCAACAATGTATATAAGTTTGCGTAATCTCGTACATAAAAAATCTATGTGTTTGCGAAAATTTAAATATGTGTCAATCGTTATACCTAAATATTTCACATCATCAGTTTTATTTAAAGCAGGTGATAAAATAACGGTCCGTATGGTGACGGATTAAGAACACAGAGGGTCATCACCCCTATTCATCCCGTGGGTGTCGTAAGAGCCTACTAAAGGAAAAACTACGCAGAACACCAGCACTGCAGATATAAGGAAAACTTGACCCAAACCCTATACCAAACCGTCTGGCCAGCGTGGTATAGTAGGCCAACACCTCCTTTCTAAGGAGAGACTTATGTCCAGCAGTGGACTATTAAAGGCTATAAAATGATAATTTGTTTTGACATACTATCATTTTGAACTAATCAACCGTAATGTTTAGGTATCGTTGCCTTATCTAATCCAATGTGTTAGGTATATCTTTTTACCAAAGAAACAAGTAATCATGACACTTAATTAATTGGGTAATTTACCGTTAGCATACAATTGGCTCCATATTTCCCATTTTATAACGATTACGTCCGTATCGTATTGACGCGCCTGCTGGTCTAGTGATTAGTGACCCTTACTGCTAAGCCGGAGGTCATGGGTTTGATTCCCAACCAGGACAAATATTGTGTGATGAGCACGGTCATTTGTTCTGTGTCTGGGTGTAATTTATCTAAAATATGTGTGTATTTAAAAATATATAAGTATGTTTAGCAGCAGTCTGGTTACCATAGCACAGGCTCTGCCTAGTTTGGGATCAGATGGTTGAGTGTGAGATGCGTGAGGTATATTATATTATCTATACTAATATTATAAAGCTAAAGAGTTTGTTTGTTTGTTTGAACGCGCTAATCTCAGGAACTACTGGTCCGATTTGAAAAATTCTTTCAGTGTTAGATAGCCCATTTATCGAGGAAGGCTATAGGCTATATATCATCACGCTAAGACCAATAGGAGCGGAGCACCAATGAAGAATGTTTCAAAAACGGAGAAAATTTATTACTATTGAGAGACGCAGACGAAGTTGCGCGGGTCAGCTAGTTGTATATATATTATATTAAGAATATGAAATGTCACCACTCCTATTTATCCCAAGGCCACCCCCCCCCCCATCTGGGGGTAGGTGGCACTTAAAGGGCGGTATCGCACTTATGTCTCTTGAATTTCATGTGTCCGTTGGCAGCGGTAGGCACTTGCCATCAAGTGACCCGTTTGCTCGTTTGCCCCCTTTTAACAGTCCACTGCTGGTCATATGCTTCTCGTTAGAAAGGAGGTTTTGGCCTACTATACCATAACAAAAAAAATCTGGCCGTTATCTAATTATCTTTGCAAACCAAGCAATGGCCGTTTTTTAAAGTAAGCTATAACTGAGTCACTTCTGCGTGTCCTACTGTGCTGCGTGTTGTGTGTTCGATTCCCATATGAGACTACACTTTGTGTGATCCACAAATTGTTGTTCTGGGTCTGGGTGCTCTACGTAGAATACTGCGGAACAGTCGATCAGAGCAGACGTGTACAATTTTTACTCATAAAATTAAAATAACATAAACCTAATTACAATTTAAAAAAAAATGGCTGCACAGATAGCGTAGTGGTTTAAGCGGTCGTCACACCGCTTACTACTACGCTGAGTGTTGTGGGTTCGACCCCACATGGGACGACACTGTGTGTGGTCCACAAATTGTTGTTCTGAGTCTGGGTGTTATTTGTGTCCGTTTCATGTATGTTTGTAAAATCCCTCGAGACAAATGATATATTCCTAATGCGGAAGTTGATTTAAAATAAAAACGATGTTTCCTTTTGAATGAGTGTTTGTAAAGTCCCCAGCGACACAGGATATTTTCCTATGTTATTTTTTAAAATTCATACACCTTTTAGCAACATAAGTTGGTGCGCAGACGTATAAACTAAATATTTATGACCCCAGGACAGGAGCTTGCATCCTCTGTCTTTAAAGTAATCACGGTACCGTTAGGGTTCACTCAAAGTTAAGTAGCCCCCCCTTAAATCTATATATCACTAGAATAGTTATTCATATTTTTGACTTTTCACCAGGTTTCGTCAGTCCTACGAGATGGACAGCGTCGCTTGCATCCGTCCGTCCGCAAGCTGCTGGGCAAGAAGGCCGTGGATCTGGACGAGATATTCAAGATCAGAGAGCCCCGGAACAAGACAAGAAAAGATTATTCTGTACGTATGACATTCAGTCATCAATATAAAGTGGTGGAAAAACCGGAGTTTTTCCTTCGACTCAGAATGACTGAATTAACTTGAGAATCCTTACACAGAGTAATAATAAGGGATACAGAGAGGAATAATGATAACCAAACCTCCCACGTCTCACACACAGTTTGATTCCAAACTAGGCAGAGCCTGTACTATGGTAACCAGACTGCTGATAAACATACTTATATATTTCTAAATACATACATATTATAGATAAATAAATAAGACTGCACGGATGGCGTAGTGGTTTAAGCGGTCACCTTGCCGTTTCCTACTGCGATGAGTGTTGTGGGTACGATCCCCACATGGGACAATACTTTGTTTGATCCACAAATAGTTGTTCTGAGTCTGGGTGTCTTTTGTGTCCGTTTCATGTATGTTTGTAAAGTCTCCCGCGACACAGGATATATTCCTAGTGCGGGAGTTGTCTTTCTTAAAAAAAAAGTACACCCAGACACGGAAAAAATGATCGTGCTCATCACTCATTTATTTGTCCTGGGTGGGAACCGAACCCACGACCTCTGTTTTAGCAGTCAAGGTCACTAACCACTAGACCAAGAGGCCCGTCAACTGGACAGAGAACAGATGATCGTGCTCATCACATAATTAATTGTCCTGCGCGAGAATCGAACATACGACCTTTAGCTTCTGGTAGGATCACTAAACACTGAACTAAGAGGGCAGTCATATATGTATGTATTAACTATTATATTAAAAATAAAGGCCACCATTTCTTCACGTGCACTTTGGAAATAAACAAAAATAATAGCTTATAGTCTATCACTGACCATGGAAAAGCATAGAAAAACCCAGAAATCTGTCTAAAAATACCGCATATCATCGTCCACTGTTGAACGAAGGCCTCCCCCAAGTAGCGGCACCTTTTTCAGCCTTGGGCAGTTCGCATTTATCCACTGCCAGCCACTTTCCTCAAGTCGTCGGTCCCTACACTACACGTTTGCCTAACTGCGGCTTCCACTCTGACACTCTAACTCCGACTTGTGAAATATCTTTGGACTTGTAAAAAGATCTGCTTACAGAAATAAATATCATTTATCATTTGTCGGCTCCAGGGATCATCAGTCCGCCTGGAGCCATGACCGGCCCACTTCCACTTTAGCGTACTGTTCCTCATAATTTCTAAATCTGACATTAATATTTAAATATCCAATTTTCTATATTTTACAGGCAATGCTTCAGAAACGTAACTACACAATATCAGCCGACACAACAAAAACCCTACGTCCGGACAGTAAGCCAGATGATATCGATCTCCTGGAGACGTCAGAAGATCCGTGCACCAGTCGACCGAAGAAGGTCCCACGGCATCTGGACCCCAAGGCCACCAACGTCCTCACCTTGGACGAGGTGACTAGAAATAAGACGAAATATAGATACAGGATTGTCATAGGTGAGTTTTTGAAAGAAATTTTAAAATTCGAAAGAGCGTACTCCTTCCTAAAAGCCCAGCAACGTGTTTGTGACTCCAGAGTTGCAGACGTTCATGGGCGGCGATGGTCAATCATCAGGTGACCCGTCTGCTCGTCTGCCTCCTACCCTACCTATTAAAGAAATAAATTCAAGGACAAAACGGACACAAGGAACACCCAGACTCAGAACAATAATTTGTTGATCATAGTATTGTCCCATGTGAGGATCGAACCCACAACACTCAGCACAGTAAGAAGCGGCGAGGTGACCCTTTAAACCACTTCGCCATCCGTGCACCTGTCTTTGATCCGCAAGGAGTCAAAGCCTGAGTGCCACCACTGCCAGAACCACTGTCACTGTCGAACACACTGCCAGACCGTGGACACGGTGCTCCACACGCTGGCAATGGAATGATAACGCTGGAATGCCCGGCGTGGGTGGAGCAGAGGCGTGACCTCGTGCAGGCCATCGGAATGGCAATTCTCTCGCTCGGTACCATGATTGCCGTGAAACGGAGCAAGAGCTCGGGGAACTCCGCCGTCTCCTTTTGCGAGCAAGTTATGCTTGCGCAGGAGACGGTTGAGTGAGACCGGAAATGGTTTTGAACTCTTCCGCTCCGCCAGACCCGGAAAAGGGCGATACCTATATCGCAAAAGACTCAGGCGCCGGCGTTTTCTGAACAACCTTCGTCCTCTATACGCTCAGGCCTGGAGGTGATAGGTGAGGCCATCTGTCACCCTAGCAGAGGCAGGATTTCCTTTCTAGGGTCACCTGGTTCATCTGCTACTGGTACCCTAGACGGCGTGCGGTTTCAGTCGGTTCGAGTCCGGCATAACCACCACATTGGTATCCGACGGGATTGCCGTACAGGAAAAAAAGGAGTGGGTTGACAGTGGTTTTATCCAGTTCGATCCAACTATATGTGTGATAACGTGTGTTCGTCTGGTTAAGGTAACACGTCGAAGTACGCGCCGCCCGCGTCCCGCGCGGACCGCTCCACGCACAAGTGGCTGCTGTACGTGCGCGGCGCGCCGCACGCGCCCGACCCCTCCGCGCTCGTCACGGCCGTCACCGTGCGCCTGCACCACTCCTACGCGCCGCACCACACCGTGCACATCGAGTGAGTCCGCATGCATGGTTTAGTATAGGTCAGTGACGTCACTGCACGTCCGAGCTCGACCCCTCCGCGCTCGTCACGGCCGTCACCGTGCGCCTGCACCACTCCTACGCGCCGCACCACACCGTGCACATCGAGTGAGTCCGCATGCATGGTTTAGTATAGGTCAGTGACGTCACTGCACGTCCGAGCTCGACCCCTCCGCGCTCGTCACGGCCGTCACCGTGCGCCTGCACCACTCCTACGCGCCGCACCACACCGTGCACATCGAGTGAGTCCGCATGCATGGTTTAGTATAGGTCAGTGACGTCACTGCACGTCCGAGCTCGACCCCTCCGCGCTCGTCACGGCCGTCACCGTGCGCCTGCACCACTCCTACGCGCCGCACCACACCGTGCACATCGAGTGAGTCCGCATGCATGGTTTAGTATAGGTCAGTGACGTCACTGCACGTCCGAGCTCGACCCCTCCGCGCTCGTCACGGCCGTCACCGTGCGCCTGCACCACTCCTACGCGCCGCACCACACCGTGCACATCGAGTGAGTCCGCATGCATGGTTTAGTATAGGTCAGTGACGTCACTGCACGTCCGAGCTCGACCCCTCCGCGCTCGTCACGGCCGTCACCGTGCGCCTGCACCACTCCTACGCGCCGCACCACACCGTGCACATCGAGTGAGTCCGCATGCATGGTTTAGTATAGGTCAGTGACGTCACTGCACGTCCGAGCTCGACCCCTCCGCGCTCGTCACGGCCGTCACCGTGCGCCTGCACCACTCCTACGCGCCGCACCACACCGTGCACATCGAGTGAGTCCGCATGCATGGTTTAGTATAGGTCAGTGACGTCACTGCACGTCCGAGCTCGACCCCTCCGCGCTCGTCACGGCCGTCACCGTGCGCCTGCACCACTCCTACGCGCCGCACCACACCGTGCACATCGAGTGAGTCCGCATGCATGGTTTAGTATAGGTCAGTGACGTCACTGCACGTCCGAGCTCGACCCCTCCGCGCTCGTCACGGCCGTCACCGTGCGCCTGCACCACTCCTACGCGCCGCACCACACCGTGCACATCGAGTGAGTCCGCATGCATGGTTTAGTATAGGTCAGTGACGTCACTGCACGTCCGAGCTCGACCCCTCCGCGCTCGTCACGGCCGTCACCGTGCGCCTGCACCACTCCTACGCGCCGCACCACACCGTGCACATCGAGTGAGTCCGCATGCATGGTTTAGTATAGGTCAGTGACGTCACTGCACGTCCGAGCTCGACCCCTCCGCGCTCGTCACGGCCGTCACCGTGCGCCTGCACCACTCCTACGCGCCGCACCACACCGTGCACATCGAGTGAGTCCGCATGCATGGTTTAGTATAGGTCAGTGACGTCACTGCACGTCCGAGCTCGACCCCTCCGCGCTCGTCACGGCCGTCACCGTGCGCCTGCACCACTCCTACGCGCCGCACCACACCGTGCACATCGAGTGAGTCCGCATGCATGGTTTAGTATAGGTCAGTGACGTCACTGCACGTCCGAGCTCGACCCCTCCGCGCTCGTCACGGCCGTCACCGTGCGCCTGCACCACTCCTACGCGCCGCACCACACCGTGCACATCGAGTGAGTCCGCATGCATGGTTTAGTATAGGTCAGTGACGTCACTGCACGTCCGAGCTCGACCCCTCCGCGCTCGTCACGGCCGTCACCGTGCGCCTGCACCACTCCTACGCGCCGCACCACACCGTGCACATCGAGTGAGTCCGCATGCATGGTTTAGTATAGGTCAGTGACGTCACTGCACGTCCGAGCTCGACCCCTCCGCGCTCGTCACGGCCGTCACCGTGCGCCTGCACCACTCCTACGCGCCGCACCACACCGTGCACATCGAGTGAGTCCGCATGCATGGTTTAGTATAGGTCAGTGACGTCACTGCACGTCCGAGCTCGACCCCTCCGCGCTCGTCACGGCCGTCACCGTGCGCCTGCACCACTCCTACGCGCCGCACCACACCGTGCACATCGAGTGAGTCCGCATGCATGGTTTAGTATAGGTCAGTGACGTCACTGCACGTCCGAGCTCGACCCCTCCGCGCTCGTCACGGCCGTCACCGTGCGCCTGCACCACTCCTACGCGCCGCACCACACCGTGCACATCGAGTGAGTCCGCATGCATGGTTTAGTATAGGTCAGTGACGTCACTGCACGTCCGAGCTCGACCCCTCCGCGCTCGTCACGGCCGTCACCGTGCGCCTGCACCACTCCTACGCGCCGCACCACACCGTGCACATCGAGTGAGTCCGCATGCATGGTTTAGTATAGGTCAGTGACGTCACTGCACGTCCGAGCTCGACCCCTCCGCGCTCGTCACGGCCGTCACCGTGCGCCTGCACCACTCCTACGCGCCGCACCACACCGTGCACATCGAGTGAGTCCGCATGCATGGTTTAGTATAGGTCAGTGACGTCACTGCACGTCCGAGCTCGACCCCTCCGCGCTCGTCACGGCCGTCACCGTGCGCCTGCACCACTCCTACGCGCCGCACCACACCGTGCACATCGAGTGAGTCCGCATGCATGGTTTAGTATAGGTCAGTGACGTCACTGCACGTCCGAGCTCGACCCCTCCGCGCTCGTCACGGCCGTCACCGTGCGCCTGCACCACTCCTACGCGCCGCACCACACCGTGCACATCGAGTGAGTCCGCATGCATGGTTTAGTATAGGTCAGTGACGTCACTGCACGTCCGAGCTCGACCCCTCCGCGCTCGTCACGGCCGTCACCGTGCGCCTGCACCACTCCTACGCGCCGCACCACACCGTGCACATCGAGTGAGTCCGCATGCATGGTTTAGTATAGGTCAGTGACGTCACTGCACGTCCGAGCTCGACCCCTCCGCGCTCGTCACGGCCGTCACCGTGCGCCTGCACCACTCCTACGCGCCGCACCACACCGTGCACATCGAGTGAGTCCGCATGCATGGTTTAGTATAGGTCAGTGACGTCACTGCACGTCCGAGCTCGACCCCTCCGCGCTCGTCACGGCCGTCACCGTGCGCCTGCACCACTCCTACGCGCCGCACCACACCGTGCACATCGAGTGAGTCCGCATGCATGGTTTAGTATAGGTCAGTGACGTCACTGCACGTCCGAGCTCGACCCCTCCGCGCTCGTCACGGCCGTCACCGTGCGCCTGCACCACTCCTACGCGCCGCACCACACCGTGCACATCGAGTGAGTCCGCATGCATGGTTTAGTATAGGTCAGTGACGTCACTGCACGTCCGAGCTCGACCCCTCCGCGCTCGTCACGGCCGTCACCGTGCGCCTGCACCACTCCTACGCGCCGCACCACACCGTGCACATCGAGTGAGTCCGCATGCATGGTTTAGTATAGGTCAGTGACGTCACTGCACGTCCGAGCTCGACCCCTCCGCGCTCGTCACGGCCGTCACCGTGCGCCTGCACCACTCCTACGCGCCGCACCACACCGTGCACATCGAGTGAGTCCGCATGCATGGTTTAGTATAGGTCAGTGACGTCACTGCACGTCCGAGCTCGACCCCTCCGCGCTCGTCACGGCCGTCACCGTGCGCCTGCACCACTCCTACGCGCCGCACCACACCGTGCACATCGAGTGAGTCCGCATGCATGGTTTAGTATAGGTCAGTGACGTCACTGCACGTCCGAGCTCGACCCCTCCGCGCTCGTCACGGCCGTCACCGTGCGCCTGCACCACTCCTACGCGCCGCACCACACCGTGCACATCGAGTGAGTCCGCATGCATGGTTTAGTATAGGTCAGTGACGTCACTGCACGTCCGAGCTCGACCCCTCCGCGCTCGTCACGGCCGTCACCGTGCGCCTGCACCACTCCTACGCGCCGCACCACACCGTGCACATCGAGTGAGTCCGCATGCATGGTTTAGTATAGGTCAGTGACGTCACTGCACGTCCGAGCTCGACCCCTCCGCGCTCGTCACGGCCGTCACCGTGCGCCTGCACCACTCCTACGCGCCGCACCACACCGTGCACATCGAGTGAGTCCGCATGCATGGTTTAGTATAGGTCAGTGACGTCACTGCACGTCCGAGCTCGACCCCTCCGCGCTCGTCACGGCCGTCACCGTGCGCCTGCACCACTCCTACGCGCCGCACCACACCGTGCACATCGAGTGAGTCCGCATGCATGATGTAGTATAGGTCAGTGACGTCACTGCACGTCCGAGCTCGACCCCTGAAGAAAGTATGTGATGCGCCTGCATCACATACTTTCTTCAATCTCTCGCCACTCTTCCTCTATCCAATATATAAATTTCTTATTCAATTCCAGTAAGCCCCCGTACCACGTGTCCCGTCGTGGTTGGGGTGAGTTTCCCGCCAAGATCGAGCTTCACTTCGCATTACCGGAGCGGAATAGGCCCGCAACCGTCGAGCACACTATCAAGCTGGACAGAAACTACACAGGCCTGCAGATGCTGGGTAAGTTGGTATGCAGAACCTACGTAGCATCACAATAATCTTAAAATGTTAGAATGATATAATAACTCACAGAAGAAACTAAAGCAGGAGTGATATGCACTCTTATCGTGAGCAAACCACACTTCGACACATATGTTTGTGTTCACAGGGGACCGGTGTTTTACCTCCTGGAAACTAAGTGGTTTAGGGGGATTGATAAATCAAAAATAAACTGCCTCAATTCTGCTATTTTATCATTGAATTTATTTTATTCGGAATGTCGTCGGAATCATTTTTCCTATTCTACTAATTATGTAAGACCAATGGCTTGTCACTGATACTAATGTCGTCGATGTCTTTGTAATAGTTTGGTGAACAATTTTCCAGGTATGGCAATGTTGTTGACATCCCCATTGATGAGCCATTGTCACTACATCGACAGTCTATTGACACTGTCAATTTATGTTAGTAGAATACCGATATCTTGACCGATGACAATGGCGTCTTAATGGCATCTCAATAGCGTGTCAATGGAATGACAGCGGCTTGGCTTTAACATAAAATAGCAGAATTGAGGCCCAGGTTTTCCACTTAGAGGAACGCTCCATGTCTGTTTCATGGGATATAAAACACTGTACGTAATGTGGTAGTTATTCGGTTTTTGCAGATCTTAACATCGCGATCTACAAAATAATCCGTTTAGACCACACCATCTGTCGATCAATTATGGTACCATATATTAACAACAATTATAAGATCATAATAGATGGCGTAACATGTTCCATTATAACGATAAAAATTTAGTTCATTATACGACATTCCGCCCACCAAGGACATATTAAAACAGTATATCCTTAGGAACTGTTAAGCAGTTCTTCTGATCTTCTGATCCCTCGTTTGACCTTGTGCCAAAAAAATGGCTAAAAGTATTTTAATTCTGACTCTTTCTCTTCAACTTTCGTCCATTAGACAACCAGTGGAAGAGTTAACTAATTCAGCCATTATTACAGGTGCGGAAACACTAGTAGATGTCTGGTTATACAGTACACCAGAAATGATTCAGTATGAGTTCAAAGAAGACGCTGAAGTAACCACAACCCAAGACCAACCTCAAATCAAATCCGAGCCAGAACTACAAACAGAGACAATCGAACAAATGGACACAGACCCTAACGACATACAGAGCGACAATTGGTTAGACTTCTTCTCAAAAGGACCTTCAGAAGTAGACGTTGATGAACTGATAATAAAACCATTAAAAAAACCCAGTGAGATAAAGACAGAAGTGGAGGAAGCAATGGATGTGAGCGAGACAAATAATGTCGTTGAAAACGAGGAGGTCATCACCGATGGTGTTGTCAAAATTGAGTCAACGTGGTCGGACGATGGTAACCCTTATGATATACCAAATGAGATTCTCACTCAACCGACGTCGCCGAAGAAGAGGATAGTTAAGTATATAGACCCAACCACAGGGAAGATATATTATCTAGAAATGGACAGAGCATTAGATTTGAGCAAGGTTCAGGAAATCGTCATAACTAATCAAACAGCCAAAATCAGTCCGGTCAAAGCTAACGGCGTCAAGAATATCCGAAAGAAAAAAGGCGGTGTATCATTATTGAAGCCTGAAGTAAAAAATATGTTAAAAAATTCAGAAAATAACGTCAAAAACATGTCCAATTATGCTCATATAGAAAATGATCATTGTTATCTGGCAACACCGAAAAAAATTCCCAGTGTTGCTAGTGTAGAAATTAAAAAAGAAAGGACGTTGTATGAGTGTCTATGCGCGAATGTTGGTAGGTTAAATACAGTGCGGGCCGCAGTTAACTATTTGGTAAAGAAAATACCCTTAATCAGTGATCAGGCCAGGGACCCAGACTTTGTTAAATTTTTCCCTTTCGTTGTCGAGTCTGAGGAGAGGTATTGGAAGCTGGACTTCGCTAAAAGAAGAAATATAGAGGTAAGTCACTATTATTCATTTGACGACACGTATTGCCAAAAAAATCTAAGTATTTAATATCTTGTGTATTCTAAAAGCTCTTTTTAGCTTTACCTAAATCATGGCACGAGAAATTTACATAAGTATCATTTTCAACATTGTGAGTTCCTGATGCTTGCCAATAAAAAAGAAATAAAAATTTGTTAGATAAAATAGAATAAAAGGATTACCCGAGTTATCTTTGTTTTGTCTTAAAACGATTATATTCACAAGGAAGGTTGGCGTGTGGCAGGCCGCCCTGCCATAAACACAGGTACAGGTACAGCCTTAATAAGAAACAGACAAAATCATTTAATATGTTATAAATTGCGCTTACGCTAAACAGAACTAAATTCTACTAGCTGCCCAGACATACTTTTATCAAAAGTTATTAGTCTGTGGAGTCCAATAGAAAAAAATATTTAAAACGTACTTTATTTTGGGCAGACATAGATCAATATCCATACAGCGTAGTGAACTTGAAGGCACGCCAAAGATAATCCTAAAGCGCCTTTTTGTTGTTTTTATTGACGTTCAGTATTTGACAGCTAGGGTCAAGTGTTTTAATTTACTCTGGTTTGTATCGGAAGTGTTGTTTTTACTATATTCCTCAAATTTATGTCGTTTTCTTACCAAAAGAACCTTCCTTGTGTCTTAACGAAAATATGAAACAAAACATTCCGTATTTTCGCGCAGCTCTTGAGATTTCGATACATTTTTTATTTATACAGATATCTCAAACTTTTTTTTCAGTGGTCCCGAGCGAAACTAATAAACAAAATCATGACAGAACATATACCTACAAACGAAACAATATGGCGGACGAAACAGATTCTCCTTTACTCTCGACTCCATGGATTTTATCCCACCAGAAGTGAAACCGTCACGCAAAAAACAGACACAAACGAATGGTCATCTTGGAACGACTTCGAGAACATTAGAAAAGTCGAATCCAGCATCAAAGAGCTGTACCCAAATTCATCAGACATTAATTCATTAACGATATTTGATGACAAAGAATATAGCCGGATATCTGAAATGTCAGACACCATAGACTTATCTGATGATGAGGAGGACGTTGATGTGTTGTCTATGGAAAGGAGGGTGCAAGTCAAACAGGAAGTGTCGCCAGATGGGAGTGGTTTAACGGTGTTACCAGTTGAAAATGAAGAGGAAAGACTCCGATTTATGTTTATTGAGAGGAAGTGTGCTGATATAGGAATTGAGTTGAGGAATGAGGATGTGGGTAACGGATATTCTTATAGGTGAGTGTCAATTTATATTCAAACTATAAATTGAAACGTTTTGTGCAGAAAATATTTCGGCACAATTTGTGGTGGATTCCTATTCATCTTCTGGGTGTCGTAAGAGCTGGGGAGCTAAGGGAGCAAATTACGCAGGACAACAGCACTGCAAAAAGAAGGAAAATTTGAAACAAACTTTATGCCAATTCGTTTGGCTAGCGTGGTACAGTAGGCCAAAACCTTATTTCTAAGGAGAGATGTATGTTTAGTAGTGGACTATTAAAGGCTGTTGTTGATTATGATGGTTTATGGAATTATCCTAGTTTTGCTGCAATTATCGGTGTTTTTATAGTGTTGGAGTTCTTAGACATTTGTTACTTTAGAGTCGACCTTTGAAGGGGTGGGGGGTGCAGAAACTTTGAACTCGTTCCTTGAAATGTAACGAGAATAGTTGAATAGTGATATCGTGTGTAATTATGGTATTATTATTTTCTGTTTTAATTTTTGATGACTTTGGTGATGGTCGTATGTATATATTTTTATAACTGAAAATGTGGCTTTCTTTCCCTAGTGCTGTTCATGCCGTATTGCTGTCAGCGCTGTCGAGTTTCGCGGAGGAGTTGGTGAGGAGTGCTCTGGCGACCGGTCTGACGCAGGGGGAGGAGGGGAGTTTCTCACTTTGGTCTGGGTATGTATTAGTGGTTTTGTTATTTTATTATAGTTTATACAATCGGTGATGTGTAATGCATATAATGCAGGTCGTGGGTTCGATTCCCAAGACAAATAAGATATAAGATAAATAAGTGTGATGAGCACACCTGTCTCTGCCCCCCCCCCGCAGGTCCCGCGGCGGGGCGGTGTGCGCGGGCGGGGTGCTGGGCGCGGTGCGTGCGCGCGCGCGGCTGCGGGCGCTGTGCGGGGCGGCGCTGGGTGCGCACGCGCAGGAACACGCCGGCCCGCTCTAATACACGCTACGACACATCAGCGCCTTTCATTTGCACCCGCCTCCTCCTTCCCCCGATACCACCCACATATCTATAACAGAAATAATAAATCGAATATAATTAAAAAAAAAGATCGAGTATTCCAGTAGTCACCTCGCCTACCGTCTGACGTACGACCCTGACACCACACACTTCAGTGTGACTAATGATAGAAATTATTGATCGTTTTAAATCATAATCGTATGATAAAATGCGATTTCAAATATGATAAATCACAACTGGGATTTGGTCATAGGCAAAGATAAATACCATCAAAATATAACAAAAAAATTTTTTTTTATTAAAACCTACGACCTTTTTACTTACATCTAAACCTTTCGCGAATCTAACATTAAAATAATCTAAATCATAAATCACAATGGTCATCATCGACTTACCGCAATTCACTGCTGAACGAGCCTCTTAGATCAGTATTTACGCTGCATTATACGCGACTTAAATCAATTTTGAACTTCTCGCATCCAACTCCTAGAGACAATCTTGTGTAAATCTTCACTTCACCTAACCTATAAGCATCCTACACTACGTTTACCAAGGCGTAGTCGCCTCTCAAAAACTCGTTTTCCCCAACGATCATCGGTTCTGCGACTGATAGTACCAGCTCACTGCCATTTCAACAATAAGTCACAATTACTCGTCATACTTATTCCCAGAGACGCCTCTATCTCGCGACATGTAACATGACGATCTTGCATTATTAGTTCTCCCACAGCAACAATATTTTGAAGTACAACAACCGATTATGGCCGACCTTCTTTAAATTGAATTGTGAACACAGACCGCCCTCCACTAAACTAGTGATACACAATTGTCTTTGATAGTGTTCGTCCATCATCATCATCAACAGCCTATACTAGTCCACTGCTGGACATAAGACTCTACTTAGAAAGGAGGTTTTGGCCTACTATACCACGCTGGCCAGACGGGTTGGTATATTGGTTTGTTTCAAGTTTTCCTTCTCTTTGCAGTGCTGTTGTCCTGCTTAGTTTGCTCCCTTAGTCGGCTCTTACGACACCCACGGGATGAATTGGGGTGGTGACAATTTGTATTCTTAATCCGCCACCACACGGACAAGTGTTCGTCCCCAAAAGTCAAAGTGAGTTAATCGATTCACTGTTTTTGAGTTAGCCCTCGCCGAAAATCATAATACGAAAATTTTCACCAGTTAAATCCAGTGATAGACACGCAATTTTCAAAATGACGCCACTAAGGATAAACAAATGACAGCTACATGAAACAAATTGTATTCTTCAGCTAAAGAGTTCCATTTTTAAATGTTATAATTACTTTTTTAATATTGTTCTGTAATTGGCCAGTTCCGGATACATACATAGTAACCCTCGTAATTACATTAGTGATGTCATCCGCTTTCGGTATAACTGAGACGTTATGAACTCAACTTACGAATTTCCTTTCGCCGATTTAAAGATGGAGATTCAGCAGCTTGATACAAGAACGACTACTATACTCGTACTATACACCTAATACGATTACTACACATCTAATACAGAGGGTCAGATCGGCTATTAGCATGGCGACGCGTCGCCCTACGGCATACGTCGCCACGTTACGTATATGTAACATGTAAGACGGTGTTACCACGTGTCGCCATTTTCCTTTCACGAGCTATGATTTTATACTCATTTCAGTTACCACGTGTCGCCATTTTCCTTTCACAAGCTATCATTTTATATTCATTTCAATAAAATAATTTTGATGGGAGATCAGACATCCCGCGACGGAGGATATGGAGGCAAACGAGCACACGGAGCACCTGATGGTAAATTACTACCCCTAATCATTAACGCCATGAGTTTGTTTGCCCTTTCTTCTCATAAGGCTCAACCCCTTGGAAACGGGCGGTTGTAGATCGGCACAGGCATATCATAGATTTTGTATGGGTTTGATTTTTGTTAAATTTATTTGCTTACTATTTGACAAACCAGAGATTGTTTTTGTGTGTGTTGATCTATGACTTTAGAGTCTACATAAAAGACAATTTCAAACAATTTTAATTTTTTTATGAAATAAAGAGAGTTTGAGTTTGTTACACCTACAACTCCATTGATACAAGAGCATTATCACCCTTGGTGGCCACTTCCTCTGGAATCACAAGGGAGGAGCGGGAAGCCAGCTCAATCTGCAGGAGCACGGCTCCCAAATGCATTATTAGACAGGAAAAACGGTTACAGCAGATTGAAAATAAATAAAATACATATGTACCAGTTCCGGAGTATTTATTTTAAAAATAACATTTTCATTATTGCAGCGTAATATACAAATACGACAACTCATTCGGGGACCCGGGACACCACAAACTTGTCATTTCACTGTATACAACTACAGGTTATATTGCCATTTAATATACTATTATAATTTGTAATTAAACTATATCGGGGCGAGGAAAAACATAGAAAATTTTTATTCTCGTTTCTTCAACAAGAGTAACAAGGCTCTGAACACTTAGTAATACATCAGATGATGTCAAATATAAAACTATTGTCTCCAGTCTTCCATACAAATAGAGCTACTGGTATCCGGTACGTGATCGGTATTCCGGTATACATACGGAAACGTCACGCTGGTAAAAAAGGTACGAGGCGGTAATGTTTTTTCAGATGGAAGTCCTTTCAGTTTTCTAACTATTACCCTATTAAGCAGAAAAGATCCAAGTTTTTTTTAATGTTTTTTTTTTTTTTTGAATTTCGTTTTTGGAGCAAAAATATACTATCTCATCTATAAGATAGTTTTTGCACTTTTTTTATTTATTTATACATATTTATACAGTATAATAACTACTTACATTTACTTTTAAATCAAACCAAAAAAAAAAAGATTTCGATATCAGAACGTCGATTGGACATTTTTTGCTTAATAGGATAAAAAAATATCCCACTTGTAACAATACGGTACTACCAAAACCATACCGGAGACCCGGTACGCGACTAGTAACACCATACCGGCAACCCGATATGTCATTAATATTACCCTAACGGATAGGTATGCGTTTCTAAAACAATTTTTAACATTAAATAATGTTTCACAATATTTTCATTTGCAACAGGATCTGTGAAAGTGAGATTAACAGAATCGACGCAATAGCGTCCTGGAAGCCACTCGTAGATAATGTTCGTTATCAGTGTTATCAATTACATATAAATTAGTGTACACTATCTACAATTAAACACGTCCTATCCTGCGGTTTTACTTATTTTTATTTCATATTTCACTCTAGGCGCCTGCAAAATTTTCAAATGAGTTCACTTAAGTTCATCTAGCGAGGGTGAGAGTGGGTCCGTCCCTGTGGGGGTGACCTTAGGCGGGGGCGGGCGTGCCCAGCAGAGGAGCCCCGGATGGGGCGGTGGGGGCTGTTATGGGCTCCTTGCTGGGTTTAGTGTGACGTTCAACCTTTACTTTTTCTCCGTTCATTATTGCCTTTATGTCATCTGCGTCCAGTGTCTCATACCTGTAAGTATAAATTAACAACATCACTTATGTATATACAATAATATGTGACCAAAAACATTTAATTCTTGGTTCTAGTTTCTAATCATCGTCGACATCACCAGACGCGGTTAATTACCACTATGCCAATCTGAAGGGCCTATTCTAAGTTGGGTCACAATTTACTTCCGACTGTCATAAAAGGTATTATCGTAGTAAAATAGTAAAGTACTACTCAGACTAGCAGATTACCGATTCGATTTTCAGTTAAGATACGATATAATCACATTACGTTGACTACGTTGGATGTTTAATACTTTACTACGGAAATACCTTTTGACAGTTGTGAGATCGAAAGTTGATCGGAGCTGAATAGGGAATATGCACGTGACACCAAAATGGACAAAATATTTTTATTTGTAATTTTTATTGCTAAAAGAAGCATACAATTATTTTTGAAATTTATTATAATTTAATAGTGAAATTTAATCATCAAATTTGGCTTTTTTAAGATTCCCTCGCAAATTTCTAAAACGCAACGCTATTGGTTGAATAAAACGTGACGTCAACTTACACTGTCAAGAGTGTCAACAAGTTGTGTGTATTTGTAATATTTGGTTTCTTGTAGACTTGCAACGAATATTCGGTTACTATTCAGTATTCGGCCTATTCGGCTGCTTTTATTATATTCGGCCGAATACCGAATATCTACATATTATTCGGCCGAATACCGAATACTTAAATAATATATTTTGTCATTGAGAAATAATTGGTAAAATGAAAAATTAAAAACGATTGATTACGTATATATTCATATTTTTATTTCTGTTATAATCATTTAAGTAATCATTGGTGCATAACACAGGTAAATAATCATCTTCTAAATTGGAAAAATGAAGGATTCTATGTATTTGAATTATTGTGGTAATCAAAATTTAGAAGGGTAAGGTTCTCATTTCTTTTATAATCATTTATTAAGTAGTCATTGGTACATAAAACAGGTACATAATTTAATTCACGTCTGTACAAGTTTTTGGCGCTAAAATCCAGCCGAATACTTTTGCCTAATATTCAGCTATTCGGTCAGGGGCCTCGCCGAATATTCGGTATTCGGTATACTGCCGAATATACTATTCGTTGCAAGTCTAGTTTCTTGTGATTATTTGTTTCATTTTAAGTTAATAACTAATACGTTTTCAGTGTTAAATTATTAAATTCCCGTGTAGAAAGACTCAACACAATGACTGAATATACTTTGTCAGGTGCAGTTTTGATATTATTTTGGCACAAAGGAACGGCACAATATTTATAATAAGTTTTTATTGGCTTTTCCATGGTAATAAGTTAATTTATATCACTCACTTTTTTAACTTTCACAAACTTTGTAAACTTCACTCCGTTGTTGACATCGAATTCGTCTGAAAGTGTAGTCTGACGTCACAAAAAAAGCGCGCCAAAATGGACGTGTTCAAATTGCCCCAAAATGATAGTGATATTAATAATTTTTTTTTGCTAACGGTTTATGTTTCGGATGTGTTATATTTATTTTTGGTAATGTAATAACGAGTTGAATCGTTTAAAAAAATAAAAAAAAAACATGCATATTCCCTATTGAGACTGAATTGTTATTACGAGAATTGGCCTTCTAGTAAATGTACAACGGTGCGAGGTGTAAGCTATTTGTTATAGTTATAAATAACTAGAACTAGAAAGAAAGCTATTTCACAGATTACCCCCCAATAGATACCGCATTATTGAATATTTGTTCTGATTCGAGTTCACCTAATTCGGCGGTATGTTTTTGTAAATCAAAATTGGGAACTATTCTTTTACAGCTTAAAGATGGACAATTAGTCTAGTAAACAAGGAAACTATTGCTACTTTTAAATCATATTCGTTTGATGAAATGATTAGTTTTAGTCACATTGATTGCTTATGTGATTGTCATTTCGTCATAGACAAAGAAAAATGGCATTAAAATCAATCAAAGATCACGACCATTTTTTTTGTAAAATACAGACAGGAGTGATTATGGATGACTGCACGGATGGCGTAGTGGTTTAAGCGGTCGCCACGCCGCTTCCTACTACGCCGAGTGTTGTGGGTTCAAACCCCACATGGGACGACACTTTGTGTGATCCACAAATTGTTGTTCTGAGTCTGGGTGTTCTTTGTGTCCGTTTCATGTATGTTTGTAAAGTCCCCCGCGACACAGGATATATATTCCTAATGCGGGAGTTGTCTTTTTATAAGAAAATAAGAAAGAAAAATATATGACTTAGGAATCATATGATTTATCGCATGTGATTGTGATTTTATTCCATTCCTACTGTCCAGTAAATTTTAATTCCAATTTGGTACTATGCTATACTATGGTAATATGCTCTCGGCGCATATGGGCCAGCTCGACTGGCGTGATGCCTTGGCCTCACACAAAACCGATGTTAAGTAATTTTACCAATTTTTCAAAAAACTGCTTCCAAAAAAAAAGAAATATTTAGCGACTGCAACTGACGGTGACTATTACTGGGTAATGTTCTGATGAGGTGGGTATACGTACTATAATATATATGTATAATAGTGTACGTACTTAAGCAGGGCCTCTGCCAGCGCCTTGTGTTCTTTGGCGTGAGTGCGCAGGATGAGCTTGGCGCGCTCATAGCTGTCTGAAAGGATCTTCTTGATTTCTCCGTCAACCTAACCAAGCATTACGTTTAAGATTTGAATCAATGTTATAACGAATATAAAATTATAATGTATTGAACTCTATTGGATATATTCCGCTACCATTTTGCAAATAATGTACACTATTTATATACAGGATGTAAGGGATGGTATAACGAATACTAAAATAGTGCACTCAGACCATCATTCTGAGTCGAAAATCATTGGAATTTTTTGTCGGAAAATTAAACGTTTTATGCAGTCAAACGTTAAGGTAGGTAGGTATCGCACAAAAGTAATAACTACATTTGTATTTCGTTCAAACTGTCTACGCACACTAACACAAGTTGGCAGCCGGGGGGAAGGACCCGCGCGCTTAGGCCGTGTGTTTACTTACTCATTGTGATATCATTTTTATAAAAAAATATTGATGAATAGAAAATTCTAATGATTTTCGAGTCAGAATGAAGGTTTGAATACACTATTTCAGTATTCGTTACACCATCTCTTACACCCTGTGTATAAATATATATATATATTTTATGTATCAAAAAAATATATTTATTTATATATATCTCAAATCAAATAAAAAAGTTAAGATGGGACTCTGTGAACAAAGAAGTGAGGTCAATTAAAATTACACCTTGGCGTGTACATACACAAGAGATAGATAGTAGAATGGAATCGCATTTCACACATAAGTAAGTGTAGAAACCAACATTTTCAATTAAAAAAAAATATGATGGTGAAACCGGCCAACGCACACATGTTTATAAAACTGGCGTCACTTCGTTCTTCGCAAACTTCCATTTTAACTTTTTCATTAAATCTGAGATAGATATTACAAAAAATTGTTATTACAATCCATTTGCGTTAAGAAAATAGTGACGTATCGACCTTAACCAATCAGGTTTCAAGCTTTCGTACGATAATTTCTTGGAACGGACTACAAGTTGGATCCACTAAAGTGCATACAAGTGCGTACCAGCTCGTTGGTGTAGGGCCCGAGCTGCTCGGCGGAGGCGACGGAGGTGCGCGGGGCCTCCATGGTGCGGAGCCCCACCTTCTCGCTCATGCCCCACTCGCGCACCATGTGGCACGCGATCGACGTCGCCTGCTTCAGGTCCGACGACGCTCCTGCCACCGACATTACCAAATCTTTATGTGCTCACAAATACACACAACATCTTCAACTTTCTCTATGTATCAGTGAGTGAACTAAACTCTTTTTATTTATTTGACGGGTCTGTTGGTCTAGTGGTTAGTGACCATGATTGCTAAACCGGAGGTCGTGGGTTCGATTCCCACCCAGGACAGTTATTGTGTGATGAGCACACGGTCATTTGTTCTGTGTCTGGGTGTAATTTATCTATAATATGTATGTATTTAAAACGATATGAGTATGTTTATCAGCAGTCTGGTTACCGTAGTACAGGCTCTGCCTAGTTTGGGATCAGACTGCCGTGTGTGAGATATATAATATCTATATATATATTCTTTGTAATTTTGAGACCAATATGATGCAGAGAAGCATATCATATTTTGAATATTAAAATATTTATGTGTATAACATAATCAACAGCCTTTACTAGTCAACTGCTGGACATAGGCCTCTCCTTGGAAAGAAGGTTTAGACCTACTATGTGTCCACGGTCCTTGTCCTACCACGGGTTGGTATAGAGTTGGATTTAAATTTTCTTTCTCTTTGCAGTGGTTGTTCCACCTAGTTTGCTTACCCTTAGTCGGCTCTTACGACACCCACAGAATGAATAGGGGTGGTGACACTCTGTATTCTTATCAAAACGGAAATACAGAAAACTAAAAAGTTCCAATATTTCTAAATGTTGACCTGTCATACAAAGATACAGACAAGTTATACAGGTCAAAGAAACAAGCCATTCCAAACGCTCGTAATGTCACCAGTCGATATCCAGTAAGTACGAATACCTGATGTGATTTTGTCGGGTCCAAAGATGAGTTCCTCCGCCGCTCGGCCACCCATCATGGTGTCCATCATCGCTAGAAGCTGTTGTTTTGTAACGTGATATCTGTGGGAGGAAAGTTGAATATTTTTCATATCATTCATTAGTTTTACATTTAATTTTATTAACCGACTTCAAAAAGGAGGAGGTTCTCAATTCGATTGGTATTTTTTTTTAAATGTATGTACACCGATTACTCTGAGATTTATGATCCGATTTACGTGATTCTTCTTTAGTTTGATGCGGAATAGTTGCCATTTGGTCCCATAAACATTTAACATAGTTAGGCCCAGTAGTTTTCATTTTATGAACATTTTTTTGTAACTATAAGTTGAACTATTTAAAGATTTTAATTGTGATGTCAAATTAATATAATAAATTTATGTATTATCCAGATGGTTTTTTTTTATGGTTTTCCTTATTGCCTTCGAGCCTTTTTCCCACACTTGGTTAGGATCGGCGATTGACTCTATTACGATACGTCTAAACTACGATTTTTACGTGTAGCTACTGCTGACAAGTACTATAGTTAAACCGCCGTAAGCTTGGCCCTCCTGATGGTTTGGGGGACGCGGGGCGGGGGTGCATTCAACCAATTAGCTAGTGCGTCGCTGTCCGCCGGCAGTGACTGACGTGAAAGCATGGCTGTACGTGTTATTTTTCTTAAGACTGCTACACACGGTATTATTTTGCAACATGGATAATCTGCCGACTCTGCGTCACAAAAAGATTTAAAAACTTGAAGTTCGGCTTACAGAGGTTCTACTGTTAAAGTTCTAATAAAGAATATTTATTATTTTACTTAATTTTTAAAATTGTATCTGAATATAATTTACATGATGAAGATAAGGTGATTTTATTAAAATTATTTTACAGTATTAAATTTTACAATTAATCATAAAAACTTACAATACACTGACATTATAATACATGGAAATAAATTCGATTTTTATTACATCGTGTGTAGATTAAATCTCAAACAAATAAATCTGAAGATATCGAAGATCTGTTGTCAGACTTTTTAGGGCACCAACTACAAGTAAAGATGGCCACAGATGTTCGTATGGCAACTGGAACCAACGGCGTAACATGCTCTTCGAGGCATTGAGAGGTCTCAATGTGTTAATGGTCACCCATCCATTAACTGACCTTGCTAGGAGTGCTTAACTTTGCCATGTGCTAACCTACTCGATTACCACTTAGCCACAAGCCCCTGATAGTAAGTGATTACCGTTGCCCATGGACGCCTGCGACTCGATTGTGTTGTCCACCTTTAATTGCCGTCATCACAATTTTTGGGATTTTAGTAACCATACTCACTAAGAATGTACTAATCACTATAAGAATACCCTTGAAAGAATAGCTTAACACCGGTTTTCTGAGGGCAAACTGGGAGTTTATTTCACTTCTACTCAATGGTCACGGTGACCGCGTTCGACGCTATAGTTGGACCGCACTGTAATCTCCACCAATCGCAACGCTAAAAACGCTCGCCGTCGAGAGCGTGTCGATGTGAAATAAACTTGCACTCGGCCCTCTGTGAATCCGTGGTATAACTCCGGTCGAGCCGGCCCATTTACACTGAAGCATAGATCTTCGCACGGTTAGAAAACAAAAGACAGCCGACATTATTATTATCCTAGAATAGCTAACAATAATTTAAATTTAACTCCTTGGTCGCGCTAGAAAACCGCTTAATTGGTAATCCGCTGTTTCGTAAAACAATACTACCGAAATTACTAGAATAATCCCGAGGATTCGATAGAATATTCCAGACAGACCTATGTATAATAAGGAATAGTCCAGCAGTTACAATATTCCGTTACTCGATACGAGATAGCGCCGCAAGTATCGAAATTATGATCTATAATTTCAACGCGTAGTGTTCGTTGTGCGTTACTTGATACTAGATGGCGCTGTCTTAGAGATTCCATACGCCTCTGGATTGTTCACGAACTAACTACTCAATACTAGAACCATTTAATCCTATGGCCCAACAGTTCTAAAGGTGTTTTAAATAAAAAAATAAACCGAGAAGGAACTGATTGTCCGACTATCAAAACGGTATATTCTGTACAACACTTGTTTGGAACACAAACCTGTGACGTCACAGCTTACCATCATTTACTATTAATGGTTAGTTTCGTTACAACACAAACTTTTTCCCAGCTTATTCAGCCCAATGCTGGGCTAAGGCCTTCTTCAAATGCTATATACTTTTCCTGGGTCATCCCAAACCAGCCCGGCGGTTGCGTTAAAGTCATAACGTCACCCCTCTAACAGAGTCGATCCGGCAAATAAATAACGGAACGTATTATTAAATATATTATCTATACTAATATTATAAAGCTGAAGAGTTTGTTTGTTTGTTTGAACGCGCTAATCTCAGGAACTACTGGTCCGATTTAAAAAATTCTTTCAGTGTTAGATAGCCCATTTATCGAGGAAGGCTATAGGCTATATATCCTTACGCTAAGACCAATAGGAGCGGAGCACCAATGAAGAATGATCAAAAACGGAGAAAATTTATTACTATTGTGAGGCGCAGACGAAGTTGCGCGGGTCAGCTAGTCTTAAATATACAGAGTGAGTACATACCTTTCTTTGGCAGGTATGTAGGCGGTGTGGCCGAGGGACGGCCCGCGGGGCATGATGGTCACCTTGTGCAGGGGGTGCGCGTCCTGGAGTACACGCAGACATGCATAAATTAATATTGTTTATTAAGGTTTCTGTAAATACTCCCCAACCCATCCTGCCTAACTTTCAAACTAACCTTTCCCTTTTAAAAGTGTCGAATTTTATCTTTTTCGGTCATTTGAAAACACTATTTACTCGACTGTATATTTCTTTTGCAAGTTTTGAGTTTTGAGTAAGTACCTATACATATATTTTTACGCAGTCCGGTTTTTTGTTCTTTTTTAAACTTTGCAGAAAACGAATAAAATGGACTTTGAATTAGCTTTATACTGTTTAATTTACTAACCTTAGTGTAATAAGCCACAATGGCATGTCCACCTTCGTGGAAGGCGGTGATGGCGTTGGCTTCCTCGTCAGGCAGCCGCGACCTTCGCTCGGGACCCATCAGTACTTTATCCCGAGCGTCCTCCAAGTACTTCATAGTCACATTCTTGGCACCGTCGATGGCAGCCCTGAGGAACAACATTATCATACACTGAATGTTTACACTATTGATATAAAAAAAAAATATGTCAGAGGGGGCAGACGAGCAGACGGGTCACCTGATGGAAAGTGACCATCGCCGCCCAAGAACGTCTGCAACTCAGGAGTCACAAACGCGTTGAAGGCCTTCTAGGAAGGAGTACGCTCTTTTCTTGAAGGTTTGAAGGTCGTTTGGTTGGTACCTGCAGAGTTGGTAGTTTTACAATATTTTCGCCTATTTAGCCGTCAATACTGCATGCAAAAAAGATTATCTCAGATTATCTGTTAGGTTAACTTGAAGATTGTCGTAAAATTAATTAAAATCGGTCCAGTCATTTCAGAGATGAGAGGTCTGTCGATATATTGTTTACACTTCCCAATGCGTAAGTTATATTTCTCTTTTCTTTTGCACATACTTTTCTTTCTTAAAACATCAATAGGTTAACAGCTACCGGAGTTCTCCTATTATCCTATTCCGGAGTCTGACGCAGTGTGTGGTTCTAGTCAATTCGATTCCGATAAACCCTGGTGGGATGACGGCAAGAGGGGTTCTCGTAGCTCTTATGTGAATGAGAGCAATTTAAAGTTGATTAAAGTAGGTGACTCATGCGCCTCTGGCTCTACTAAAGCTCTTCCTCCCCCCTCCCCCCCCCTCCACGACCTCAACTTCAAAATATTTGTGAAAAATATTAGCCAACAGTGAGAACTGTCAGTCATTTTTATACCATGCTATCCCTACTCTGCCACGCTCCCTTTGGTACGTGTAGCGCATTGATTCGAAATGAGAAAGAAAGAGATTGACGAGAAAGATATGTAGATAAAATCTTTGAAGCGGGTGTATCATCAACAGCCTTTACTAGTCCATTGCTGGACATAGGCCTCTCCTTAGAAAGAGGGTGCATATCATTTCAAAATTAGATCTAAATCGGTACAGATGTTAGAGTTTTTGAAACGTACACAAAGCAACTTATATAGATTAGAATGTGTTAAGGGTAGTGTGGGGTGCTAACTTGAGCGCGGCCTGGTTGACCATGTTCTCCAGGTCCGCGCCGGTGAAGCCGGTGGTGCCGCGCGCCAGCACGTCGCAGTCCACGTCGGTGTTGGCGCGCACCCGCGCCAGGTACAGCTCCAGGATCTCGCGCCGCCCCCCGTAGTCCGGCGTCGGCACGGTCACCTGACACCATCACCATATACCATTACTTTGGAGCCGTAGAGATCCATACTAGGGCGTAGTGACACCAAGGTCTCACAAAAAACACTGTCAAGCAGTTTTTTCAAAGAGTGAATAATATATTAATAATATTGTACCACATTCACACAACGCTATCTAGTCCCGAACTAAGCACAGCTTGTACTATGGGTACTAGACAACTGATATAAATAAATATATACTTCTTTTTGTAAATACATACATGTTATATATAGAAATACCCAGACCAAATCAAACATTAAATGTTCATGCACACAAATTTTTGACTTGAACAGGAATCGTTCCCGCGACCTTTGGAATAGCAGTCCCTTACCCAAACAACTACTATGTTTGTGTTTATTTTAATATACTAAAATTAATTTTGAATTAGTTTTAAATATCTTATTTCATTGACCATTATAACTTGAAATGCTATTGTATTATAACAAATTAAAGTAAATATTAATCTAACAAATTATTTTGCTTAAAAAGCATCTAGGTTTGAAAACTTCTGCCCATAAACAAAAAATACCTATTCTAATTCTTCTGTGGCCTATGTTTCTTTGAAAAGAGTTTAATATATTTATATTTTCTTAATTAATTAATTAATACATGGATGCAATAAACCTAACGTGATAATTTCTTTTGTTGAACAAGTTAATGTTTAGAAAATATTATATGCATTGAATAATTCAATCTATACTAATATTATACAACTGAAGAGATTGTTTGTTAGGATGTACGCGGTGAGCTCAGGAACTACTGGTTCGAACTGAACATTTCTACATCACTACGACCAATTGGAGCTGATCATCAATGAAAAATGTTACAAGGCGAGGTTGCTCGAGTCAACGAGTTCTTGACCTAGGTCCATCCATCCATCAATCCACAGCCTTTACTAGTCCACTATTGGACATAGGCCTCACCATAGAAAGGAGGTTTTGGCCTACTATACCAGATGGCCAGACGGGGTGGTATAGGGTTTGTGTCAAGTTTCCTTCTCTTTGCAGTGTTGTTATTCTACGTAGTTTTCTCCCTTAGTCGGCTCTTACGACACCCACGGGATGAATAGGGGTGGTGACACTCTGTATTCTTGATCCGTCGCCACACGGTGCCGGTATTGTTATAATATCCTTAATGACAGATCAAGGTCATTAAGGATATTTTAACATAACGCTCAAACTCTTACGAGTAAAGCAGTCACCATACATTTTCTCCTTTGAATTTACTAGAAGCCACATTTTTCTCATTGTTATAGAGGGAAACGAGTATTTGACTTAATAACAGGTGTCTCACCTCAACGTCGAACCTGCCGGGCCGCAGCAGCGCCTGGTCCAGGTCGTCCCGCCTGTTGGTAGCGCCCAGCACTATCACACCCTCGTTCTGATGGAAGCCGTCCATTTCTGATAGCAGCTGGTTTATCGTCTGCGAAAACAACCATTTGTTATTTACTTTGCACATAGTACAGTTAGTAAAAAAAGGTTAATTGAGACAAAATCTTTTTTTTGTTTTGTATTGACTTAAGAAGGGGGTAGTCTAGTCAATGCAGAAGCTAAGCTAAGCTTCGAAAGATCTACAATACACATATTGGCTCGTTTACACTATACTATAAAATAATAATTCAAGTGTGTACATATCTACAAAAAAAAAAAATTGTCTGCTTGTTTGAGTTAAAGTGTGGTTTCCCAAATAAGTGAATGCCATGTACCTGGTTAGCATAGGGATGTAAGACACTGTTGGTCCTCTTGGCGCCGACTGAGTCTATCTCGTCGATGAAGATCACGCACGGAGCGCGCTCCTTGGCTGCCTCTGTATACAACATGCGTTATACTTAGTGTTAGAGATAGGCGAGTTCATTTCCCTGTCCTCATCATCATTATCAAACAGCCTTTACTAGTCCACTGCTGGACGTAGGGCTTCTCCTCAGAAAGGAGGTTTTGGCCTACTATACCACGCTGGCCAGACGTTGCTGTCCTGCTTAGTTTGCTCTCTTAGTCGGCTCTTAGGACACCCACGGGATGAATAGGGGTGGTGACACTCCGTATTCTTGATCCGTCACCACACGGATTCCCTGTCCTAGTGAGCATAAATCTGAATTCGTTCAAAACAGTTTTCTACAAATTTATTATTCCTCTTGGCATACCGACTTAAGACGAGACAGGCTACTCCCGCATTAGGAATATATAAATCCTGTGTCGCGGGGGACTTTACTAACATACATGAAACGGACACAAAGAACACCCAGACTCAGAACAACAATTTGTGGATCACACAAAGTGTCGTCCCACGTGGGGTTTGAACCCGCAACACTCGGCGTAGTAGAAAGCGGTGTGGCGACCGCTTAAACCACTCCGCCATCCGTGCAGTCAGTTTTACAGCTGATTAGTTAATCCGCTGTCAAAATTGTATTACATGATGATTATGACACTTTTTCTGATTCTGATCACGTGACCCAAGGTTAAATAACATCTCAAGAGTTAATAAAATAATAATATATCTCACACACGGCTGTCTGATCCCAAACTAGGCAGAGCCTGTACTATGGTAACCAGACTGCTGATAAACATACTTATATAGTTCTAAATACATACATATTGTAGATAAATTAAACAATATTTGTCCTGGGTGGGCACATAATTTGCGCTTAGCAGTCACACTCGAGCTTGGTCTACCAACAGGCTCGTCAAAATAAATTAATACATTATTGAAAGTATTTTAGGATTTTTTTAAATTAACTCTCAGATTTACTGTTAAAAATGATTACATCTAGATTAATCGTTACGATAAATCAATATTAAGATTTTCTAAATTAAAAAACGTGTGTCATACAATAATAATAATACCTAATAATAATAATATTGTACCACATTCACACAACGCCATCTAGTCCCAAACTAAGCAGAGCGGTACTAGACAACTGATATAAATACATATATACTTTTTTTTTGTAAATACATACTAACACCCAGACTAAATCAAACATTAAATGTTCACGCACACAAATGTTTGACTTGAGCGGAAATCGAACCCGCGACCTTTGGAATAGCAGTCCGTTACACAAACCACTACGCCATTCGGTCGTCAACAATATTGGCTTCATGTCGGTACGCAGTTGGATTTGTACTGGCTATTACTCGGTTACAAATCATATTAAATACGCTTCCGTCACCTGAATAGGGTAAATATCTGTCAATTCAGTATCTTTTTTTTAACATAAAAACGCTAAACGCGGCACATTTTTGTATGAAATACCATTTCGTGACGTCATACCTAGCTATTGTCAAATCATTTAGCTATTATCAATGATAAGATTACATTGACAATGGAGGCCATTCAGGTTAACGGTTACGGTGACAGTGTGTGAGGTATATCGGTACTGACTGAAGAGGTCCCGGACCCGTCGCGCGCCCTGCCCCACGAGGATCTCGTCGAACTCTGGCCCCGCGGCGTGGAAGAAGGGCACGCGCGCCTCGCCCGCCACGGCCCGCGCCAGCAGCGTCTTGCCGGTGCCGGGCGGGCCCACCAGCAGCACGCCCTTGGGCAGCTTGCCGCCCAGCGTTGAGAACTTCTCCGGCGACTTCAGGAACTCCACCTGCCACACGTCGAAGCCCGTGTTAACCGCTAACTATATTTCATATTTTATATGTCGGAGGGCTCGGCCTCACCGACCCGTCTTATAATACATAATAATATACAATATTTTTCGTATATCTTACACACGACATCTAAGGGAAGTTTATACTATGAAAACTAGATTGACTGATAAAAAGGACATATACCTACAAAAATATATATACCTTACATAAATATATTTAATTGCATTAAAAGGATTTTGACAGCGTAAAAATAGGCCATGTTCCTGTCGAACCTCGTGCTGTTTCGATCCCTTGATACATTATTTTTAAATTGTTCTATAGCAGTTTTTGTTTTTTAATTGTGACTTGTTATTACTGATTTGCACAATACAATACAAAATTGATAACTAATAAAAATTTTGAAAAATATATGCGCTCCACGCAACTTTTGTAATTATGTCCCATCGAAAATATTTTTGGAAATTTACAGATAAGCTGGATTAGTTGATTACCCCCCCCCCCCCCCTCACCCTCCCACACACACAAACACCTTCAGGTATGCTTAACCCAAAATAAATCTATACTAATATTATAAAGCTGAAGAGTTTGTTTGTTTGTTTGTTTGAACGCGCTAATCTCAGGAACTACTGGTCCGATTTGAAAAATTCGAGGAAGGCTATAGGCTATATATCATCACGCTAAGAGCAATAGGAGCGGAGCACCAATGAAGAATGTTTCAAAAACGGAGAAAATTTATTACTATTTAGAGACGCAAACGAAGTTGCGCGGATCAGCTAGTATATGAGAAAGAAAAGAAACTCACAACATCCTTCAATTCCTGCTTCGCCTCGTCAGCTCCCTTCACATCGTCGAACGTAACAGATATATCTTCAGGGTCCACTTCCACTTGGTTGCCCAACTGAATTCTGAAACATATTTTTTTTTGTATATAGTATAATCCTTTAAACAACGAGCACGCCACAACGGTGTCTCAGAGCAACTTTAAATCTTAGAACTTCGAATCAATCACTAACTCTGTATGACAAAAAGGCCTAAATGATAATTCACAATGGCCCACTCAAGATCCGCAGAGTATATATACATTAAATATAATAATTTATATTATAAATTATTTGTAATAGAGTTCTTAAATAATAGTAATATTTTCAGACATCTGTCACACAACGCCATCTAGTTTCAAACTAAGCAGAGCTTGTACTATGAAAGCTAGATTGACTAATAGAATAATTATATTTTGTTTTTGTAAATACATATATATTATACATAGAAAACATCCAAATTCCGAAACATATAATTGCAGATGCTACAAACATTTGGTGCGACCTGGGAATCGAAACCGATACCTCAGCACAGCAGTCGCATACGTACGCTACCACTTCACCACCGAGGCAGTAATAATTTATTTATTTTAACTAACTTTAGATCATCCACTGTATTCCCTACCTTTATATTATTAGTTAACGCTCTTTGGGGGAGGTGTTCGTTCAGTAATATAGGGAACGGCGATAGGCTGATGATGAATTATTATTATTACTAGTGTTTGACACACTCACTGCCCATATGTACCCCTCCAGGGTTACAAAGGCAGTGAGTGTATGTATGTATGTGTACATACCTGAAAACAGTACCGCTGACGGAGGCCATGAGACTCACGAAGATGGCAAGGAACAGGACAATGGTGAGCAATTGTTGGACTAGCTTTAAGTATTTTGAAGCCTTCGTACCACGAACATTGTCTGGGTGAGACCCTGGAACAAACATTTATCTTTTTATAGCATAGAGGGGCAAACGAGCACCGGGTCACTTGATGGCAAGTGACAGTTGCAGCTCAAGAGTTACACGTGAGTTGCCGCCTTAGTCTTCCCCCCAGATAATATAACACTGCTTTATTTAATTGACCAGTATAACTTGACCTGTCATTGTTTACTATAGGTCAACATAATATACTGGATTTCTATAGTTTTATGTAGGCTGCATGGATGGTTAAAGAGGTCACCTCGCCGCTTCCTACTGCGCTGTGTGTTGTGAATTTGATTCCCACATGGGACGACACTTTGCGTGATCCACAAATTGTCGTTCTGAGTCTGGGTGTTCTTTGTGTCCGTTTGTAAAGTCCCCCGCGACACAATTTATTCTTAGGGCGGGAATTGTCTTTTTTTTAAATGTAGGCGTTTTTGTATATATTTTTACTTCGTAGAACATATTGTTTTAAAATTTAGCTTAAGGTGCATTCGGTTCTTAGCGACCGCGACGCACAATTGGTACCGCACCAGATAGCGGCGGGGCTACCGCAACCCGGTCGCTCCAGAGGGCGACGCTGGTTTCACCACCTGATAGGGCAGAGATTTAGGGTACGGGATACAGCAACTCTCGGATGGGAAGCGGGCCTGAGAGTGCAGTAGCTCGAAAAGGGCCAGGGTCGCGTACCCGTATGGGCGACCTGGGATAGGAGAGAACGATATTTTTTAATTATTAAGAGGCAAAAAAACTGCTTCAAAGTTTGGAGGTAATACCGGTCCGGAAATACCGCAGGCGACAACATTTCACAGATTGTTTGTGAGAGGGAAGCTTCTTGGGAAGCGCACAGAGATATGTAGTTTAGAAAAAATGCATCTTGTAGCTATTCGTTAATCTAAAGCGCATAATATAACTTGTAATTTCCTCCATCCGCACAAACCAATTCAAAAACCAAACAACTATTCCCAAACTGCGAACATATCACTAAACATATACACAAACAACAATCGAAATGAAAACCTTTCTAAAGACGTTTATAAATATAGGTATATAACCACGTATTCGTATAATGCACTGCACGGATGGCGTAGTGGTTTAAGCGGTCGCCACGCCGCTTTCTATTGCGCCGAGTGCTGTGGGTTCAAACCCCACATGGGATAACACTTTGTGTGATCCACAAATTGTTGTTCTGAGTCTGGGTGTACTTTGTGTCCGTTTCATGTATGTTTGTAAAGTCCCCCGCGACACGGGATTTATTCCTTGTGCGGGAGTTGTCTTTATAAAAAGAAAAATAACTAAAAACGTCGCTTTTTGGGAACGAGCAGATGGGTCACCTGATGGAAAGCGACTATCCATACCCATTTCGTCAATGTCACTCCATCACGGGCTGTTTGATTTGTAAAGTTGGTTCATGATTTAATAGGCATATACATCTATTTATACACGCACTTGCTATTTCCCGTGGCTTCGTTTGCCAGATTATTTCTTATTTTGTATTTCTAACTTTGAACATTACGAACTTCCAGACAACCATTCGTCCATTATGTTACCCCCTTTTATTGTTGACGGGGTGTAAAATCCTTTCGGGTCTCCTGCTCTTCGGGGACTCAGGAGCCAGAAGTATGTGGTGATTCCACTAAAAACCAACCCGACGGCCGGCCTCAGGTCTTCTACTCTGGGAGGACCCGCACCATGTTATTTCAAACCCTCCCCGAATTGACACCATGTCTATTCAGGCCCTATCCCAGGGGAAAATACTTCCCCCCTCAATCACGGCATTGCGGCCCGATTGCATCTTAATGCAACCAGGCTGCCATTCCATCCCCAATATTTAACACCCCTAGGGATAAATTAAAAAAAATCCTTTCTTAGTGGATGCTTACAACATAAAAAGCAACAGAAGATTCATCATTGCATAGCCTCAGTCAGTCAGTCAGGACAAATAGTTTTATAAGTATAGATAAGACAACATTTATTTAAATAAACTACAATATTCATAAATCCGAAATTAACGACAATCCTTACTTGCTTACTCGTCAAATAGCAGAACAAGAATCAATCTACAACGCATCACGATTGGTATACGAAAAGCCGTTTCGTAAACCGCTTTAGAAATTTCTAGAACATTCGATCAGTACCATTTTAAATACCATATAATTCTCAAGCTACCGACTGCTCACCTATTACATAACCTTCGGCAAAAGCTATATTCGTCTTCAGTTCTTTCATTTCGGGACATTCAGCTGGCTTTGCCTTGACACTGGGGTCCACCTTCTCGGACAGGATTTGCTCCAGATTCGGAATGCCAGCCCCTAAGTTCAATCACTACTGTTACTAAAGTCTAACGAATCGATAAAAAAAGGGGCTATTTACATTTATTCTACGCGAAACTAAACATACTCTATCCAGTTTATGGTAGGATTTATGATCTCTTTAAAAATGTTTAAAGAAGAACATTAAATCTGTATACTGTACGGAGCCAGATAACTAGTCCCAACAGGGACCCATTACCAAGAGGTGAAGCGACCTGCCTCATGGTACACTTTCGAGCGCGCTCTTCCCTTTTTGTGTTCATGTTTTAACGTCTTTCAAAATATTTTTTCTAATATTAACACCTATATACGATTGGTAAATAATATTACTGTCTATTTTATGGATATTTGTTGTAAATTCCTAAGTTTAATTAAATAATATGAAGATCAAAAACATCTGTCATGGTTGTGTAATATATCATCATCAACAGCCTTTTATAGTCCACTGCTGGACATAGGCCTCTCATTAGAAAGGAGGTTTTGGCTTACAATGCCACGTTGGCCAGACGGATTGGTATGGGGTTTGTGTCAAGTTTTCCTTCTCTCTGCAGTGCTGTAGTCCTGCGTAGCTTGCTCCCTTAGTCGTCTCTTACGTCACCACGGGATGAATAGAGGTGGTGACACTGTATTCTTAATCCGGATTCCCACCACACGGATTCCCTGCCCTAGTGAGCATAGATCTGAACTTGTTCAAATTCTGATCTATTTTTGATCATTATTCCATTAAAAAAACATTGAAACAGAACGTTTTTATTGATTTTTATAATTTTTCATTTAATACAAATGTGGGCTTATTCAGTTGTTTGTACGTTATACTTTCACGCTTTAACTACTAAACCAATCAGTACAAAATTTTGCATACGCGATATCAAAGGGATACAGGGTTCCTTCTATTTAGGTAAGGGTAGGTTCCTGAGGCAATACAATGCTAACATTATACCGGGTGTTAGAAAAGTACCGGAAAACAGAATAATTCGCTACGAATGCATTTTTCGAAAATACGTTAATCCCAAAAGTTACAGGAATTTTCCTTGGCTATCCTTGATCACAATCTTGAAGGTTATCTCAAGGTCTAGGGCAAGGGCAATTTTCAAATGGGATTGCATATTTTTGAGCCCGGAATTGAAAACCCGGTATAACTGTTTTGACAATGCAAGCGAAGTCGTCAAAACTAAATGTATGTTATACGTTTGTGTGCGTCTCGCAAAAGGAATAAATTGTCTCCGTTTTTGCAACATTTTTCATTGAAGCTCGGCTCCTATTGGCGTAATGTTATATAGCCTATGGCCATCCCCGATAGATGGGCTATTTAAAATAAAGAACTTTTCCCATTTGAACTAGTATTTCTTGAAATTAACGCGTTCAACCAAACAAACTTTTCAGTTTTTAAATGTTAGTACCTACAGAGTGAGGCTCAAAGTATTTAGAGACATGTGGTAATTGTTTGGCAAAGGCAAACCACTGCTTCGATATTTTTTTTGTTTTGATCTATAAATTTTATTAATTATTATTTTATAACCGTCGATATCGAAAAAATTGAAACAATTTTACGACAAGGACACTTAAACTTAAAAAAAGAAGAAAATTAAAAATACCGCCTGGTGTCTGATATATTAAACTGTTTTTTTTGTACTTGATATTTAGGTAAATTTTATAAATATTTTATAATCAGCCCGTGATGGGATATCATCAATTGTTATCTAAATAAAATCAATACATTATTATGTTTACGTGAATTATCTTTAAGAATAATTTTGAACTGACCACGGTCAGCCTCAATTCTGCTATTTTAATATTGTAGCAATAGACTGTCGATGGAATGTCGTCGGAATAGTTTTGCAGTATTCCACTAACTATGTAAGACCAATGGCCTCCCAATGAATTGTCACTGAACTGCCACTGATACAAAAGTTATCGATGTCTTTTGAATAGTATGGTTAAGGAAATTATATATTTAATTTTCCAGAAATGGCAATGTTGTTGAGATCACCATTGATGATCCATTGCCACTACACGAACCTGTGAATTTATGTTAGTATAAACATCGACAGTCTATTGGCACCTGTAAATTTATGTTAGTAGAATGCCGATTTTCAACAGCGTATCAACAAATATCAGCGACAGTGGCTTGTACGTTAACATAAAATAGCAGAATTGAGGCTCTGGTCGAAACGTCTGTCAATTCAAAGGTATGTCCTTAATACCTCTCGTGAGCGCGTTAATTCTCGTAAACATTTATTATGGAATGCGATAGTTTAGAAGTTGTTTGATACAGGGGATAAAGCAGCAACTTCCTTTCTAGGGTATACCTGGTTCCCCGGCTATTAGTACCCGAGACGGCGTGCGGTTTTAGTCGGTTCGAGTCCGACATGCCACCGGTGGTATCCGAGGGGATTTCCGCACTTAAAAAAAAAGGGGATAAAGGAGCAGATGGGTCAAATGATGGAAAGTGACTACCACCGCCCATGAACTCAGGAGTTACATGCTCGTTGCCGAATTATGAGGTGGGATTACGCTCTTTTCGACACCACCGCTTTTTTACCTCGAAGACTGCTGAAACCTTGGGTCTCGGCTGTTAAGGCTCAGCTCCCTATAGTATTTGAAATGTGATAATTTGAAGCTGATAACTCACCCGCAAGGTAACCTTCAGCGAATGCTATCTTGATTTTGTCTTTCTGTTGATGCGTGAGGTGCGACTCCTCAGTGAGCAGCTTCTCCAAACGAGGAGCAACATCAGGGTTATTAGAAGTATGTTTCTCTGGTGGTTCGGTTGCATTTAAGCCTGTGGACGTAGAACATACATGATTAACCAGCTGTACCCTGGCACGCTTCACTATGGCACTTTGTGGTTGCATTCTCATTCTTATTAAAAAAGACAACTCCCGCATCTTCTATACAAATAAATAACATTGGAGTGTCTGTTTGTAATATTAAAATAACCGCTTTTTACTAAATGCATATGTATGTTTACACGGTACATATGCCAAAATAACATTTTTATCAATTTTTGTCTGTCTGTCTGTTTGTTCCGGGTAATCTCTGGAACGGCTGGACCGATTTCGACGGGACTTTCACTGGCAGATAGTTGATGACATAAGGAGTAACTAAGGCTACTTTTTTTAGATTAGCTTCGTCCCGCGGCGTTGCCCGCGGTTATAACAACAAACGCGGGTAACACCGCGGGTCACAGCTAGTTAGGAATAAAACTGATAAGAAAAATAGATCAAAACAATCTTTGAACTAGTTTGTATACCTTGTCAAATTTTGAGCTCAATCGGTGAAGAACTTTTGAGTCTTTAAAGCGTACACAAACCAACCCAACACTTATATACATATATATTGACTAACTGTCCCGATGTACGTTGTCTTGTGCACACGTCTTAAATTTAAAAAATCATTTTGTAGTGGACCGAATTGTGAATCTAAACCATTCTCTTTTTTAGTGTGCTCAAGCGGATTCGCACTAAAAAAATTTCATCAAAACCGGTCCAGCCGTTTAGGAGGAGTTCAGTCACATACACACGCACAGAGGAATTATATATATATATATATATATATATATATAACCGGCCCGTCAGTGGTCTATCTTTATATATATAAAGATAGACCACTGACGGGCCGGTTGGTCCAGTGGTTAGTGACCCTGACTGTTAAGCCGGAGGTCGTAGGTTCTATTCCCCCCCCCCCCCCAAATAAATAGTTGTGTGATGAGCATGTTGATTTGTTCTGTGTCTCTGTGTATTTGTATAAATTATGTATGTATTTACAAATATATAAGTATGTTTATCAGCAGTCTGGTTACAATAGTACAGATTCTGCCTAGTTTGGGATCAGATGACCGTGAGTAAGGTTATTATTATTACTGAAAGAGTATTGTTGTCTCGTTCTATTGCAGACATACATTAATAGGATAAGCAGAGACAGAGCAGTCCTTCATTTTGTTTTATTCATACATATAAATAAATATATTATCTGTATAAACCTTCCGTACGCCTGCCGGTTTCAGCTTTTTAAAGTTAAAAACGTAATGTTATAGAAATGGCAAAATGCTTATTCCAAATGAAATTCTGGAATCTTCATAATAGGCTTATTGAAACTGTACCAAACAATCGTCGTTCTAAATAAAAGTTATGCTAAACGAAATTATAAAACTTTGCCAAATACCTTTGGCAAAGTTTTATAATTTCGTTGTAATGTGTGCATAATTGTGGCAAATAAAATTCTGCCATCTTAAAGGTATGCCATAGAGAGGCCTATGTCCAGCAGTTGACTAGTATAGGCTGTTGATGATGATGAAAGGTATGCCATTGTAGATTCGGACATATGAACATTCTGCCAAACAATAATTATTTTAAATAGTTTGTTTGCCTTAAAAATATTCGTTTACAGAAGATGGTCAAATAAATTTCGAAATCATCAAAATCCTGCGAGATAGAAGAAAAACGCCTTGCAAGGGAGGAGAAAGAGAGGAGGTCGGTCTTCCTGTGACCTCACATATTTGGTGAACATGCAATCAAAAAATTACCGGTTTTCTGTGAGGTTCGGTCTAGGCTAGGATTCTGCGCAGGCATTCTGCGGTGCCGCGCCGCACGCTCACCGGGCCACGCCGAGGGGGAGGGTGTATGAGCACCAGGGACTTCCTTTTTAGGGTATAGCTGGTTCCCCGGCTATTAGTACCCGAGACGGCGTGCGGTTTTAGTCGGTTCGAGTCCGACATGCCACCGATAGGTGGTATCCGAGGGGAGGGTGTATGCGCCGGATCGGCACCGCTGCCACTCCGACGTCGCAGCCGTGTTGACTTAGTTGTGAAATGTAGGTGCTTCCTCGCGTCGTGTATTTTTGCCCGTAATTTCATATTTTATTTCCATCGTAGGTTCTAAAATGAGTACTAATAAGGATGATAATATACCTAGATATGGACTATCTCATACCACTGAACTGTCCCCGCTCACTGCGGAGCACCACAACGTTACCGACATTCTTGCGACGCCGCGTGTGGCCTCTCCCTTAGTTCTCATCTACCGCTGTTTCTAAAGGTATAATGGCTCGGATGGTAGTTGCTACTTACGCAGTCTGTTGATGAGGTTGGGGTTACGTTTGAGATCCGCGTGGATACTGCGCTCCGTCTTGAACCCACGCACCTGGATCGAATACTTAAAGGAGTTGTTACTGCATATGCTCTGAGCTAGCAATCCGACGAAATTGTTTGAGCAACTTATTCTGAAAACCACAAATTGACATTTTAATTTACATCCATATATATAGCTATTACATCTGTGGAGACTAATAAGTTGATAACACACTTTGACAGGCTTCTTGGTCTAAGAGGTTACAGGTTCGATTCTCACTCAGGGTAAATAATAGTGTGATGGACCTGTTTCGCCCGTCGGAGTCACGATGCCCGGTCTCACAGAAAATCGGTGTTAAGCAGTTCTTTCTTTTTTTTCTCACCGAGTGAGGTTATTGGAGTAGACTGTACGTTGAAGGTCTTTAGGTGACGATAGTCACTTACCATCAGGTGACCGGTCTGCTCGTATGCCTCTTTTACCATGAAGAATGTAAACAATAGCTTGAGTAGGTCAGGGACGCATCGGCGCATGCGCATGTATGTAACAGTATTGTATATAAGCTTACTTGGTACTCCTTGGTGTCAGGTCGACGGCGACAGTGGGCGCTGGCGTCCATCCATTCTTGTTCTCATCGAAGGTGGCTGCGGAGACATGTGACACCTTCCGCGATGAGCACAGCTCACGCAAACGTGGCAAACGCCGTGCTGGGATCGATAATCCTCGCAGCTCGATACTTTTCATCTCGCTACAAGAAGACACATAGATTTGACAGGTCTTTTGGTTTAATGTTTAGAGATATTGTCTGCTGCTTCGATCCCTACCCAGAACAAATAATTCATGACCAAGAACATTTGTTCCGTGTCTGGGTGTAATTTATCTATAATACGTATGTATTTATATTTCATATTTAGTTACGATTCGTTCAGGATAGACGTTCAAAACCAAAGTCACAATCAAAAATATAGTTCTAGTATTTGTCACAAGATGTCGTGCTACCTACATAGATCGCGTTATGATTGTTTGCAAACTGTAGTATATAAACATGAGGGAATTGTATGTTAACATTGAGTTGTTTGGAGAGGTTCATAGTCAGTTTCTGTAGATCAGTGCACAGTAGTTTCATTTGAATTCCTATTTATGTACACAAAAGCTCACTTTAGAGCACTTAATTCAGTGCATAGAGCAACGCATCGGCTAATAAAAAAATAACTTTCAAGCGAGCGAACCAGCGGATAAAAGGTAGTTGGCAATCGCCGGTTCAATACCAGCTCAGTATTGTGTTTTAATAAAACAGCAAGTACAGCTATGTGCATACACACAAACCTTTAACTTGTACAGGTCTCCGTCGAGATCAAACTCTTCAGTATCCATATATTCCGCTGAATTTATTTATAATTTAAATAAATGATATTTTTAATATTTGAAGGCGTGCTCAATACAGATTCCTGAATGGAAGTGATGGCTTTTCCTATAAATTCCTCATGTTTATATAGTACGGTTAGCAAATAATTATAACACAATATATGTATGCACGCCATCTTGTGACAAAACATAGAACTACATTTTTGAGTATATTTATCGTACAATATTATAAGTATTAGTTTATCAAAAGCCTTAACCTTTAGGTCACATAATAAAATCATAATACTGGTTATGTCAAGAAAGTACATTATTATGATAACAAACAAATAAGATTAAGATTTAAGCGGTAATGGATTGAGGAGGCTTATGCTGAGCTGGCTGAATGTGGAAATGGACTTATGGTGTGATCAAAATGGTCAAGATGAAAAATGAATACATTAAAGAACTAACTTTTATTTTTAATGTGTGGAAACCCCCTCGGGCCGTCACCCCACTTATTATTACCATTAAAGAACGGTAGTTCTACACCACCCAAAGGTTGACTGGAAGAGAATGCCCTGGGCATCAAGTCTGCTGATGTACATAAGTGCATAAAGCTAGTGGATGTAAAGTTGCTGCCTGCCGATGATTGCCTTATTAAGGAGATGAATGGATAACACTCTATCATACTTATGTTTGTGATTGCAAAATTGGGGGATGAAACAAAAAAAAAAGATGGATGGACTTTATTAGCCATATCTCTTTCATTCAGAAAGAGAATAAATATTATTCTATACTATTCTATTCTAGTTCCGTGTGGTGACGGATTAAGAATACAGTGTGTCACCACCCCTATTCATCCCGTGGGTGTCGTAAGAGCCGACTAAGGAAGCAAACTACGCAGGACAACAGCACTGCAGAGAGAAGGAAAACTTGAAACAAACCCTATACCAACCCGTCTGGCCAGCGTGGTATAGTAAAGGCTGTTGATTTTTTTGATGATGATTTTGATGATTCTATTCTAATCTATATGGCTCAAAAAAAAAAAAAAATATTAGTTTTTTTTTTAATTTCAATGTCAAAATTTTATTCATTTCATTTCTTGCTCAACAACTATTTAAGATCCTCAATTCAATGGAGAATCCAAAACAATTTCCATTTTATCCTGTTTTTAATACAGTACTGAGTTATAACCCTTAAGGTTACATAGGTTGTTACACTGACATCAGTCATATCACACATAAGGCACACATATATTTTATATTAATAATAACACGTATGACGTAATATTTATGTTGTTATAGTATTATTGAGAAAACGTGAATAGCATTGAAACTATGTATGTATCTAAATTTATCTGAAAAACATAACATTAACATGGTATCTAAATACAAACATCAACAACTAATAGTAAATGTTGCCAAAAATATTGATGCCAAGTTTTATTTGATTTGCTTAGGTCACAACACACATTTGTTTTTATCTGAATAAAGCTGAAATGTTTGTATTCTAGTCTGAAATCTTCATCATCTCCCTACTCTCTTTATTATTTTCTACAGCACAACAGCACCATATGGGGCAGTTAAACCTGAATGCCAATTCTCTTATTAAAAGTTTGGTTACAATTCAATTCATCATCATCATCAACAGCCTATACTAGTCCACTGCGGGACATAGGCCTCTCCTTAGAAAGGAGGTTTTGGCCTACTATACCACGCTGGCCAGACGGGTTGGTATACGGTTTGTTTCAAGTTTTCCTTCTCTCTGCAGTGTTGTTGTCCTGCGTAGTTTTCTCCCTTAGTCGCCTCTTACGACACCCACGGGATGAATAGGGGTGGTGACACTCTGTATTCTTAATCCGTCACCACACGGACAATTCAATTCAGATAAATAGATAATATTAGTTCATGGGCGGCGGTAGTCACTTTCCATCAGGTGACCCGTCTGCTCGATTGCCCCCTATTCCATAAAAAAAAAAAACGATCAACTCACAATCTCACAAGTGTCATAAACGGTATTTTCGTAGTAAATTATTAAACATACAACGTTGACTGCAATGTGATTATATCATATGGTAACTGAAAATCGAATCGGTAATCTGCTAGTCTTAGCAATACTTTATTAATTTACTACGAAAACATATGTTATGTCAGTTGTGAGCTCAAGAGTTGATCGGAACTGAATTGTGACCAAACTTTTCTTACGAGAATTGGCCTTCAGTGACAACGGCCTTACAGAAAACATTTCTTTTGTAGCTTTTTGTCTGCTCGTATGCCCCGTATTCTATAAAACAACAAACAAAAAAAAGGAGGTAAGGTAACCACCCTTCTAATGCTAGAGGAAACAATCCACTTGTGCCTCTGGACTAGCAGGTGACCATAGGAAGCAGCAGTCACTCACCATCAAAACTGAACCATGCATGAAACCATCACAAAGATCACCCACGTCATGCAAAATGTTATCCCACATGGGGATAGAACCCATAACACTCAGGTAGTTGGAAGTGGCTAGCTTAAACTATTATGCTATCCATGCAGTTCAACATTGTTGAGTTGACTTATTTTAAATATTTTTATACCATTATATATGACTGCACGGATGGCATAGTGGTTTAAGCGGTCGGCCCTACTACGCCGAGTGTTGTGGGTTCAAACCCCACATGGAACGACACTTTGTGTGATCCACAAATTGTTGTTCTGAGTCTGGGTGTTCTTTGTGTACGTTTCATGTATGTTTGTAAAGTCCCCCGCGACACAGGATTTATTCTTAATGCGGGAGTTGTTTTTTTTAAAGGAAAAAAAATAAAAAGATTATTATGGTAATATTTTTAAATATCACCAGTATGTAACTACAGTGAAAATAAATATTATCAGAATACAGATTTTTCAATAAGGGCTAAATGCAGTCATGAAAGATTTTTCATGAACTGGTGTAATAGCAAACTATTTGCATTGTCTATAAAGACTAACAGCATGTGCGGTGTCCATTGCCTGTGGTTAATACTAAGCAAACAAGATGGCAGCAATAATTTAATAATGAAAATGATTTATTTGCTATCTCACACTGAAACTGACATCAAAAATAATACTAAACTAAGGCTAAGTGTAACATTACTAAGAAAGCAAATCTGTGTGAGAGACCCGTATTTGTATTAGAATGCACCTGTATGACAGATTATATATTACCGTTTTCTTCTTCTGATTCTAGATAACTGGTACCCAAAGATAATAATATGTGAGTGTGTCTATGTGTGTGTGTGCATGTGTGGATGTATTTATGTGTGGGTGTGTGCGTATATGTGTTAGTGTATATATATATATATATATATGTGTGTGTGGTGTATTAAAAATAGTTTGATATGTTTAAAAGTAAATCTTACTTTATTGACATTCTTTAAGTACCAGACAAACATATACTAATCTACAGTAATATATTAAGTAAAAGAGTTTTCTTTGTTTGTTTATTTAAATCCATGAACCTCTATTCTAGTTAGATTTGAATATTTCTTATTAGAATTGGGGTATGTAACCTAGGGCCAGAACAATCAGTATACAGACAGCAGATGAAACTGGAGGAAACTGCTAATCCAAAAAAGGCAAGCTAGAAAGCAAAAGGTAATCACTATTTGTTTTTTTTAGCGAGTTGTCAAAAGGTCATTGAACCAAGTTTACATATTATGATAAAAAAACTGACACATCAATTTTCAAGAATATCATAAAATTTTATTAAATCAGTATGCGTATTTTGACAAATGAAGCCATAATGTTGACAATATGTTACGTTAAATCAATTATTTACAGACTATGTACTGAAACGTAGAAAACTTGATACAATACTTTGTAGTTTACAGAATATTTATAAGATTTACTAGCAGTTGCTAAATTTCAAGTCAAAACATAGAAATTTTCCAAAAAATTTATGATGAGCAAACGTATGAAACAGTCCGAATACAATCGGCTTATTCAGCAGTACTTACCTTATGACATTCTTATCGAAATTTTTTATTGTTTGCTGCAAACTCTCCGGACAAATTGTTGCGTCATAAACTGTGCATGATGCCTCTTTACCCTTCACATTTTTGTTTTTCACACTCCTTTGCTTGCTATGTCTAAAATATTTCGAATATCTTGCTGATAATTGACTAAAACTAACTAAAACCTGCAATGACAAAAGGTTATATTTAATGACAAAACATCTTTGTCGTCAACAATCAAATTTTACGCGTCCGGAATATTATAATAAATAGTTACCTGGTTTTGGGTGTTTATAGAATTCAATGAGAACATGTTACATGTAGATGGTAATGTGTTTTTTTCTTTATGAAGTACACTCGAAAATTTTGTAGGCTGCTCTCACGTCAAACTTAATTTTCGGCCACAAAAAAGTGACCATAGAGCAGAATTTTCCATAGAACAATCACGTAAGGAGTACGCGCTATTGTTAGTCGACTATATTTTTTCTTTATTGACATCAGACCTAAAAAAAATAACTGTAGTAAAATATTTGCAATACAAAGGTGATTTGAAATATAAAATAACAGTAGGTTTTGAGTTTATTTTGATGTTAATTTCTAGAAGAGAACCTACTACGTTTAGAATAACCGACAATTGCATCACTTCGTTCAATCGGTGGCAAATTGGCAATGCATTCATACTATTTTCAATCTATTTCACAAAATTGCATTTTTCAAAATTAAGTACTCACGGATGGCGTCGTCTAAGTCTGGCTTAAGATACCATGTTACAGGTGTAACTAAGCAATGTCGACAATATTTCAAATAAATCTGTATAAACGCTGACATACGTACTAAAACTACTTTTTCATTAAGGACTAATGTTTATGAATGACAGAGTTCCGAAATAATAAGCATAAAGAAAAAAGAAAGAAAAAACATTAATCGAGATTTCCTTTTTTGAAGTCGGTTAAAATAATTTTAATTAACTTGACTATTTTAATAAGATTTATCGCTAGTATAAAGTTATTAAAGCCGAAAAATTTATAATAATATATCACTTATTGGACACAGAACAAAAATACGTGTGATAAGCATAATCATTTATTAAAATTAGAAAAAAAATGAGTCGAATATTAGCAATACACAGTAAGGGAGGTGCCTCATTGCCGATTATTCGTTTTCCATATATTTTCTGTGATATGGCAATTATTAGTTTGTTAATGCGTGGCACACACATTAATAAACGAATAATTAGAAAAAAAATGTGATTAAAATAAGAGGGGGCAAACGAGTAGACGGTTCACCTGATGCAAAGTGACTGCCGCCACCCATGAACGCCCGCAACTTAGGAATCACAGGCGGCCTTTGAGAAAGAACCCTTGACTTTCTAATTTACGGGTTAAATTCTATTTGCCATTCTAAACTTTGGTTCAGGTCTTACCTCCACAAGCACTCTCATATTATTAAATTAGAACAAACATCGTTTTAATTATCTTCATTTATAAGTTCTTAAGTAGAAACTAGTTAGATATTTTTTAACCATATCATGGAGGAACGGGTGTCATGTCCCCCCAACTCAAAGGGAGAATCAAACCATCATCGAACCAGGAGAGGTGATCATGCCTGGTGGGCGCGGCACAACGGTTCATGTTGGGAAGTTGCATATATGCTAATCGGCGTGTGAATTACTCATATCGCGATACAGGATTAGCAGTTACTCCGTAGTTCAATGTATCTTCGTTAGATAGCGCTATAGTATGTTTCTACGATTCGCCTGGAAATCGACACAACCACAGACTTATAAAAAAAACTGATATTAAAATAATTTGTGAACTAACGTTAATTTTGGTACATCATTTTTATAAAAATAATCAAGTTCTAAAGAAAAAATAACTATTTTAAAATTGTAGAGATATTACATACAAGGTACATGGTAACGAATACCGAAGTAGCCGACCATGATTCTGAGTCGAAAATCATTGGAATTTCTGCCGAAAATTCATCCTTTTTATTCTCCCTTTTTTTATATTCACTCTTGCACGTTTTAGAATAGTCATATACTAGTTTTATGTTAGCTTTAGTAACAAACTCTATATAAGAATCTAATGACGATGAGACGTAAATCATATACAAAATGTAACCAAGACATTCTGAATGTACAAACACCATTTACGTTTTTTTTTTTCATCCTCGTTACAAATATATCCAAACATTACACCATTCAATCAATTCTTATACACAATTTGTAATTTTGATTAGCTCCAATACTCGAGGGGAATTAAGGAAAGCTAAAATCTCACATAATTGTATTCTCTTCAATTCAAATAGTTTTTATTTGTATAGCTAAGCGTACGTTACTATTTTTATGTCTAAAATTTAGTTTTACTTTGGTTACATTTTTAAGTGATCAACCTCATCATCATCATCATCCACAGCCTTTAATAGACCACTGCTGGACATAGGCCTGTCTTCAGAAAAGATGCCGATTAACCTCATTATTTTGTTTTTACAGCAAAAGTATGAAATTTGTCATCAAAACAAATGAATGTTTGAATGAGGACGAGTTGTGGCATGTAAGAAGGTTTTTAAAAATATTTATGGTAAATATTTAGAACAGTTACTAAATGAACTCTCCTAAATATTTGTAACATGGCAAAGTTGAAATATATTATGAGAACCTTATTAAGAGAGTGATTCATGAGGCGGGTTTATATGTATAATACATTTATATTATACTGGAGAAAATGAGAGAATTTCAAAGATTTGTAATGTAATGTCGTAAAACACATATTTTTGTGCACTTACAGTGCAAATGCTTGCTAAACCTTACAAGACAGATCAGAATAATGTACTACGGAATTGACTGGAGTGGTTTAAATGGTCGCCACGCCGCTTACGCTGAGTGTTGTGGGTTCGATCCCCATGTGGGAAAACACTTTGTGTGATCCAAAAATTGTTGTACTGAGTCTGGGTGTTCTTTGTGTCCATTTCATCTATGTTTGTAAGGTCTCCTGCGACACTGGATATATTCCTAATTAGGGAGTTGTCTTTAAAAACACATAAAAAAATGTTTATCTCAATAAGATCCACAAAAGAGTCCGCGATGGTTTATGTCTACCTCCAAAAAATAAACTAAAGTAACTATTTTTCCCTTATAATATTTAAAAAAAATGATGGTATATTTATGTAGCTATGTTAAACAATGTAGTATTGTTTCTTGTCCAATTAAAAACATTATATACGTTGTGCATTTAATGTGGATCAAATTTGTCTTTTACAGCATATCATTAAAATGAATAATAATTATCTTAGAAGAAATCAGAGGTTTAAAACGCAGGACCGTTCGGCCGTACGTCTGTGCTGGGTGTCAGTGGCCTGCAGGCGCAGACCGTGCCTATAAATATTTTATATAAAAATATCCTGATATACAGTCCAGTTCAAAATAATATTATTATTCATTACCACACACTGACATCACATTTGTAGCTATAGTGCACTCGTGCGAAGCCTGGAATGGTCGCTATCGATTTTATAAATTTTAAGCATTTTGTTTTTGTACTTAAAAAAAAATGGAAATGAAAAACAAAAATTAAAAATACAAATTAATAGTTAAAAAAATATATGTTTCTTATAATGAAAATTTCAGGAGTTGGTTCCAATGAGGACTAACCAAAGAAAACACCAGTATGTAAACTTTTAAACAGATGTCTGTAATTAAATTTACAACTAATATGAATTTCCGACTCTACTTACCTACTACTTAAATCCTACTTAGTATATTACCTACCTACCTTACTGGCTACTTACCTTGAATCTGAGATTTTAAAATACTTACATAATATTGTCTAGATTCAATTCAAATATGTAATTTCTAATATATGTGAGAATATTTTATTAAATGTTTTACACCAGTAACTTTTTACTATGTAAATACTTTATTATGTAAATTATTTAGGGCCTTTTTAGAGTTACAATTTTAATTAAATAACTTCATTATTTACTTAAACAGTTGATGGTTTCGTGGCTAAAGTGGTAACCGAGTAGGTTAACCCTTTGCAAGCTAAGCAATGCTTGCCAGGTCAGTCTATGGATGGGTGACCTTTGTTAATGCATTGAGACCATTTCGTGTATCGGAGAGCATGTTGAGCAGTTGCCTCGATCCCGGTTGCCACACGAATATCTGTGGCAATCGTTACGGGCATTTGGAACCCTTAAAAAGTTCGACAACAGCCTTTTACAGAACATCGATATCGCCTACTACTTGGTTGTGCAGGTCTGATGGCAATCGCTCCGCGTAAAAATCGAAGACTTAAAGCTGACCACAACTTAGTTGGGATAAAGGCTTGGAGGAAGAAGAATTTACTTTAAACCAACATAGTCGTGACTTAAATTGTTAAATATACGTAGGTTTTGATTTAGAAAGTTTTGTAAATTTAGTCTCGTGAATGCGAAACTGTAAACTTAAAAAAACATTCTTGGCGCTGGCTAACTCGAACTATTCGAAAAATTTACATATACGAATTGTTCGAGTTAGCATTGATTTACAGGTAATTGTTAGTATCAATTAATACAATCACAATTACAGGGAATGGTGTGCATATATTAGGTTAACACTATCTTATGTGAGATGGTACAATACATTCTAAAAATTAATACCTAAGTTCTCGGAAAATGATTATGAATAACGTCATTTAATTCAAACTCTACTTTGTCTATGCTTTATTTGGACAGTATAATCCAAAATGGCGACGAGCGATGACGAGCCTATGCATTTATATGAAGTTTTTCAGAACTGTTTTAATAAAATAGCAAATAAACAACAAGGTGAGTTAGAATACGCATATCGTGGCTCGTCTCGCGTTCCTCGAAAGAACTGTAGTGCTAAAGTGAAGTGTTTCATTGTGAATATCAGTCATAGTGTTTGCGTGTTATGCCATTTCTTGTGTTATAAGCAACAGCATTTTTTCAAAATACGCCCGAATTACTCAACCTACGTATATGAGACCCTGTCTTTGCCCTTCTCTAATAGTTAATGTATGCAATTTATTAACGTGGGATGCCTAATAGTTACGTTTTGAGTGTAAAAAGGCTATGTTTTGATCGTATGCTAAGATATCAATGTGCCTGTACCATTGTGCTACAGCGATTTCAGTGCGAATCTGAATTGTTTTACGGGATTTATTTACGTTGACGTCGACGTTCACAAATGTATAAGGTAAAACTAACGAATGTGTTAAGAAAAAATATTAATTTGTCCGTATTTATCTCAAGAAAGAAGTGACTGCGTTTCTTGATGTATTTTTTTTCACATTCAAGTATCAATGGGTACAA